AATAAATTTTATTGTTTAGCAAGTGAGAGGCGGGTAGACTGTGTCACGTATAACAACTTAAAACGGTGCTCTGTATAAATTTGATCTTTAAAAATAATAAAATGAGAAAAACTCCGATAATACTGAAAAATCGTTGAAATAAGTGTGCAAGAAACCCAATGAACAAATAACAAGTGAAAAATAAACACCAAAAAGGGATAAAACCAATAAAATAGTGCTATTGCTTACACGGTCAATTACCATAAATCTACGTGCAAAAGTTGCTTTTCCGGACAATAAGTCAATAGTGGAACAAATCTGAAGTGAAGTGAACGTGACAATTCAATGCAAACTCAAGAATAATTAAACTTTCTATTTAAAAAATTTAAAAAATAACCTAAAATGCGTTGCTAATTTGCTAAGTCAATAAACAACACCATCTAGCGTCAAATAGCCAAATCATCTCAAGAATAGCTACTGCAGTACCAATCGACGTAAACAACTACTCGATACTAGAGGTCGCAAAAGCTAAAAATAACAACTTAAAATACAAAAATCAAAATGGAAGAGGTAATGGCAGCACTTCGAAAAATTCAAAATGACTTAGATGAACAAAAAACCACTATTACAAAAAGCGCAGATGAAGTGACGGAGAAAGTAACAAAAAATATAAACAAAATATTAGACCAAAAATTAAAAACTTTGGAAAGAAATCAGGAAAAACTCGAGGAAAAAATAGAAAACCAAGAACACAGGCTAAATCAGTTGGAGAGACAAACAAGGCAAAGAAACGTTGTTTTCTTTGGTATGGAGGAAAATGAACGTTCTTATTCACATCTAGAAAACAATGTAATTGATTTTCTGAATAATTATTTTTCTTTAAATATAAACTGCCATGACATAGAAGCTGCTAGAAGAATAGGGAAAAAAGGCGACAAGCCCCGTCCGATCGCGGTCACATTCGCCACTCTAGGTCACAAGATAAATAGGTAATGCAACAAAAGAAAGCTCTAAATGATACCAGCTACTATTTAAAAGATGATTACCCATATCATGTCCTAGAGAAAAGGAAGATTCTTCAGGAACAAGTCAAAATAGAGCAGGAAAAAGGGAACAAAGCTACCATAAAATACGATAAGCTGGTAGTAATTAAACCTAATAAAACAGATGCCGACCACACGGACAACAGAAAAAGGCACCTTTCTATCTCTCCACAACAGAGGAAAAATACCGAGAAAGATACTCTAAGTACCAGTACACAAACAGCTAAGAAAAATAAAACCGTTCAAAGTCGCACAAAACCTTAACGATCCTCCAGCATCTCAGAAGGAGTGATTAAGCCAGGAATGCTTAACTTTTTAGTAAACAAGAAAGACATGCAGAGCGACGAAGGAAATAAAAGAAACAGCAACAACATATAGCAACTAACAACGCCTCTCTCAGTGTACAAACACAACATAGATAAACTTAACAAAAATGAATCATCACATCTTCCAAGACGGCCGGTCACCGAGGAAGATTACGACCAAAACCTTCCAGCAACACCATTAAAAACCAACTCATCAACCGAAGAAAACAATCTAATTAACAAGCTCTACATAACCACGTACAATGTTAGAACACTCTCCTCATACGAACGTCTAATAGAACTTACTGAAGCTTTTAAAAACGTAAAATACGATATCATCGGATTTGGGAAGAAGATATTAAAAAATAGCTGGCCCCAAATGGCAGCACATAGCGCAAAATAGAGAAAACTTGCAAAAGCTGGAAGAGGCCTTCACCTGAAGAGGGGTTCCTATACTATAATTAGAATATCAAAAACTGTAAATAATAATACTTAGCATGATAGAAATATAGTCATAATATTTATTCATTTACTAATAGATTTCGTTAAGTTTTGCAAAGGTTTAGAAAACCACATAAAGAAATGTACCTTATTAATTAACTATATTGGGAAATAAAAGGCTTTTTATTTTATTCTATTTATTATTGTGTAGCCAATTAGTTTTTTATTAAAAAGCCTGTCTATGACAAAACAACTAAATGTTCTACTACTTAAGTATTTCCGGACTTAGGGTCCTTCAAGAAAAGAGTGTAACAATTCTTAAAAGCACGGCAACGCGATCTCTCTGGCGTTGAGAGTGTCTATAGGCGGTGGTGTCACTTAACATGAGGTGGACACCCCGCCCGTTTGCCCCTTGTTCTATGAAAAAAATGTTGACATTAACGTAATTTTACCCTTATCATCGCAATACAGAAGTATGTGTAGTTTATGTATTAGCAGGCTGCACTAGACAACTAAATATATGAGAGAGTGAGACCTAAGAACCTAACAACCCTACGGATCCTATAGCCCTACAGAGGTACCCTACCACATAAATATAATATGTACGGGCTATCTCAAAGCTATCGGGCATCACCTCTTGTCACCATCAACATCTTTAACAACAACAATTACTCTCGTGAGCTGTTGGTGTATCGCGCACCTTCAGCTATTATAATTTAAATATCAATGAAAATATCAGATCTTTATTTGTAGGCAAGTGGTGATCGACAATCCGTGTCTAAGAATTCGAGTGAGAAAACTATGACTTCCGAATGTCAAATCCCAAACCCTTACGTTTTTTGATAAAAGGGCCTGGGACTAGTGCTAGACAGGCTACTTCTAATTTCGATATTTGTTTTAAAATCAGTGTTGTTTGATGATTTGCTATTTTAAAAGAGTACCGAGAATTTTTTACGCCGGCTTTTTCTCTCAGCCTACACCCTCTGTCTTCTTTGCCGATGAGTAGGGATGCCTATAGATTCAAATTTAATGACGTGGAATAAGTGATACCTGTATCTTATGTTCCATAAAAAACATATTTAATTTTTTTTTTCGAAATTTAAAAATATTTCTAAAAACCGTTATGGAAACTACGTATATGTAATAACAGTAACGTAATAGATTACAATTGAAATCATGTTAACGCGCGTAAAACACGCCATGAGACCCGTTTTAACATCACCTGACGCTTACTGACAAACACGCAAAAATATGTTCTCTAGGCCGATTCCGGACTCTTTTGAGACTGGCCATATACAGGAAATTTATTGGTTCGGAAATACTTCTACTGGCAGCTAGTGCCACTAAGAAGCGGCAGAAAATGCCCTAAAAAGAGCAGTGTTGTGGATCGAAATAGAGAGGATGGAATTTAAAATATTGTCGTATGATTGTATTTTTATTTTTATCTAGTTAACATTAAATTATTAATTCATAAGAATCAATATATGTATATTTAATTGATAAATATACCTACATAAAATGTTAATTAAATGAAAAGCCAATATTAATATTATATTGTACCTTAAATTCTATTTTTTATGACTTAAAATAATAATAAAATTAATTATACTGGTGGAAAGTAATCTCGCTCGTAATGCAAAGAAAAACATTGTTCAAGTTGGAGTCGTGTCCTGGGGGACAATCCCGTGCGCTAAAAACTACCCGGATGTGTTTGCGTCTGTTTCTGGCTATTATGACTGGATTGAGAAAAATATGAAGGATTAAATTATCTGTTTCGACAAATTATTAACTCCTAACCAACCTTCATATAAAAGTCTATCAGACCAGCTATAGGATAAGTTTTTTCAGATATAGTTTTTTTTTTTCATTATTATATGTATAGCATTATGCACATGTGACATTTAATAAAGAGTGGTATATAAAAAAATATATTTTTTTTTATTTTGAACTACACGATTTTTTTAATGAATTGTCTGTTCACTGAAGCATCATAAACATTATCATCTAGCCTAACAATTAAAAGATAAAATACAGTCTCCATTATGGGAAAGACACTTTGTAGTTGTGTTATTTTTTCAAATAACACAATTAAATGTAGCTACTGTCTCAGATATTTGAGGTTCGCCTCCTACTTAACGCAGAATTTAGTTTTTCGGAACAATATTTAAATACTGTTTAAAATAGTCCTTTATCTTTGAGGGCGTAAGTCTTTTACGCTTTTATGTAAGAGCCTGATACTGTTTGCTACAAAAGGTAGTTTCGTAAGAGCATTGATTGTATTAGATTTTTATTGTGTTAAGACTCTTTCAGCCAGTAATGCAGGATATCGTTTTAAAGAAACTCTAATGTTAAACGCACGAGGGCATCAGTTTTTTACTCTGTCCGTCATTATTGAGATAACTTTTAGTTATTTTAACTATTGCATCTTTTTCGTAATCACGCGCTGGTTTCTTCGGCAATTTCATTCAAGATAGTACTTATTTCTACATTCATATCAGAGCCAAATGACACTTCTGCGGGCGTTCTGCCAATTGTTTTCTGAACAGTATTGTTCAATCCCCACTGAACTTTCTATCAGATCTAAATTTTGATCCCAATCATTTTTATCGTGCATATTAAAAGCTTTCAGCGAGTCTAAAATGGTCCGATTGTATCGTTCAACCTGACCAGTCGATCGGGGGCTTGCCACGCTGTTCAATATGTTTGAGACCCTTATCGAGAACAAACTTTTAAATTGCATGAGATGTGAAACAACTGCCACGATCACTAATTAAATATTTCTACATGTAATTAGTGATTATAGAGTATTTGTGTTTCTAACGGGTTTAACGAAACAAAATTCGTAAACCGTCTACTATCACTAGTAATTATACCTCTGATTCATGAGCATTTTTTTTTTTTTTTTTTTGGAAAAGCACATACAAGCGTTTACATATTTTTTAACAAATTTTGGAATTTAAAATATTGTAGTATAACTGTATTTTTATTTGTGGACCTACTTAAGATACAATTAAAATTAGAAGAAAAACAAGTATTAATCCAATATTAAATTAGATCTGAAATTCTATGTTTTAAATTTCTTTATAGATAGTAATAAAATTAATTATACTGGTGTAAAGTAATTAACGGTTATTTTCCTTTCGAAACATCGTTTTTAATTATTTTATCAATTGCACTTTTTCATCTAAATATTACATATAAATAGGTGTAAATGCAAAGCATAATCAGAAAAATGTTTGTTCAAGTGGGGTTGGTGCTTCTACTTTCGCGGGGACTTCTGGGTAAGTATTGATTCATTTATTTGTAATACGATAACTGTACGAGGATTCTTCCCTACCAAGGCTCTCACACATCTCTAGATGTTTTCCTTTCTTGTTCGAAATCGCAGAATTCGCTCCGTTATTCGAATCCTCGAAGCTCGACTTCCTTGTCTCAAGTTTACTACCACTTTCCAAAACTTCCCCACTTTTATTCACAGGCGAGTCTGATTTCACGGATATTGACGGAGATACGCGAATCGTAGGGGGTCAAGATGCTCCAGAGGACTTCGCGATTTACCAAGTCTCCATACGTAAGCACAACAAGAATCAAGAATGGCACTCGTGTGGCGGCTCCATCATACACGAAGAATGGGTTTTAACAGCTGGTCACTGCACGTATGGGTCAGTAACATAATTTTTATAAGATGTCCTGGTTAGGAAAACCTTTTTTTGAATTCTGAATAAAAAAATAAAGCCTTTGTTAATAAAAAAAAATGATATTTACTTGCGTGGAAAGCACCAGCTCTGGGTTCACCGGTACTATATATATATATATTTCTAATGTTAATTTACAGTGTTAACGCCAAAGAAGTGTCTATAGTGGTTGGATCAAACCTACTCATATTTGGTGGCGACAGTTACAAAATAAAGAAAATTATCACTCACGAGAATTATGCAAAAAAAGATTTAAGAAATGACATAGCTCTTATGAAAGTCGACGGGAAAATAAAAATGAAGAAGAACGTTAGGGCAATCAAATTGATGAAAGAGTCTGTGGCTGCTGGAACAATTTGTGCTCTGACAGGATGGGGTGAAATTAACGTAAGTACTCAGACAATTTAGGTTATAGTTATCGAATTGAGTATTTGAGACCTAACTGTCTAGTCAAAGACGGTTCTAGAATTCGTCAAAGGTTTTAGATTAATTAGTCTGTTCTTTCTAATGAGTAATAAATGGTCAAATATGAAATATGTTAAAACAGAATTTGATTATATATGAAAAGAATTTGTGATAAGAAATCCCTGCCCAGGCCCCAGGAGTGTATGGATCCTTCGATGTATCTAGCTGTCAAATTGAATTGTTTCACAGGATAAAAGAACTGTGCCGAACAAACTTCAAATTATGTTCTACAGAAGTATTAGCAACAAGGAGTGCAACAAGAGGTTAAAAGGTTTCAGTTTCGCACCGATTGATGACAAACAGCTCTGCGTGAGAGGACCAGATAAGAAGGGTGCTTGTAGAGTAAGTTTAACTTAGTGACTTAGGATAAGATTCGGATTTTCGGGTTCGTTGCCATAGTTACCATTCCTTTTTCCCAGGTTAACTTAATTACTTCTCCGTCTGTGGTCAAGATTGATCTGTCAAATGATTCTAATTTCCATATTCCTAATGAGATTGATAGTTTTTATGATAGTGATTTGTAAAATCTTAAACTAAAATCTTGATTGCAATTTGTAGTTGCTTATATATATTTTTTTAATAACATCGGAGCGTCGACAAACATTACATATATTAATAGTTTTATTATGTGAATGCTAGAAGTATTTAAAAACCCCTACACTATTAAAAAAAGGATTGTGTGATTTTATGAAACCACGGTAAAAGTGAAACTTTTTTTCACATTTAACTAAAAATTTTTGGAATAATATTCCATTAAGGGTATCAAAATCGCTTTATCAATCTTAATTTTATACTTGGAAAATTGGAATGATAATGGGAAATAATAAAAGTAGACTAAGTACTAGTAGTACTCCAACTAATATTTTTATTGTTCTCTGTGTCTTAGAGAGTACGACATACATAATACTTAACAATTGTTTAGATTATATACACATATTAAATAATAGTCTATAAACTACACGGTCAGGTAAATAAAAAAAAATTAGAGAGAAAATCAGAATAGCGAATATATATATGTGCTGACGGAAGACAACTTTTTACCAGATCACTCACTATATAATATACTCATGATAATTATAAACTCTTTCATATTAGGAACAAAATTTTCTTTATTACCTAACAATAACGAAAACAAAAAGTTACGAATGTCGTGCAGGTACACGTGTCCATATTTTATTTATTGATAGATTGAAAAATAGTAATACCATTTAAAAATCGGCAGCCTAGTGGCTTCAGCTTGCGACTATCATCCCTGAGGTCGTACGTTCGATCCCCGGCTGTGCACCAATGGACTTTATTTCTATGTACGCATTTACGACTCGCTCGTACGGTGAAGGAAAACATTGTGAGAAAACCGGCACAGGAAGGTCACCTACTTGCCAATTAGATTGACAAATGATCATGAAACAGATACAGCAATCTGAGGCCCAGACCTAAAATGGTTTATTTATTTTTATTATTTTTAAATTATAAAGATATTCCTTCCATAGGGTGATTCAGGAGGTCCTCTGGTCGCTCGTGATGCAAAGAAAAACATTGTTCAAGTTGGAGTCGTGTCCTGGGGGACAATCCCGTGCGCTAAAGACTACCCGGATGTTTTTGCGTCTGTTTCTGGCTATTATGACTGGATTGAGAAAAATATGAAGGATTAAAATTATGTTTCGACAAATTAACTGCTAACCAACCTTCATATAAAAGTCTATCAGACCAGCTATAGGATAAGTTTTTTCAGATAAACTTATTTTTTTCATTGTGCACATGAGACATTTAATAAAGAGTGGTATATAAAAAATATTTCTTTTTTATTTTGATCTGCACGATTTTTTTACCATTATGATCTAGCCTAACTATTAAAAGATAAAATACAGTCTCCTATTAAGGGAAAGACACTTTGTTGTTGTGTTCTTTTTTCAAATAACACAATTGAATGTAGTCAATGTCTCATATATTTGAGATTCGTCCCCCATTTAACGCTGAATTTAGTTTTTCTGTAAAAATATTTAAAAAATCTACTGTTTAAAAAGGGGCGTTAATTGTTGAGGGCGTTAGTCTTTCACGCTTCTATTTGAGAGACTGAGAGAGAGAGCTGCATGACGGGGCAGAAACTAGAAATAAAAAGGTGATACCGGCTCCGTACTGCACAGTGTACCAGGCGGATCTAGCCGACCTAGGGACGCAGTGACATATTTGACGAAGGGGTGGCGGAATGCGGCTGTGCTCAGCGACTCGAGCTCTTCACTGGATGCCATCGTGAGTGGACGCGCTCTCAATCCCCAAGTTGCCGAGATTCGCCTGATCCTGGAGGAGTGCCATGAAAATCCAACACTTCTGGGTGAAGGTGCACGTTGGCACACAGGGAAACGTGAGGACGGAGAACGGTGCTTCATCAACTTGTTGACTGTCCGACTTTTAAGGACCCAGGCGATCTGGAGCTCGAGACTGGCACGAGGATATCCCGGTTGCTTGAGCACCGATTGCAGCTGGAAAAATTCTGCCGTAAGATTATCAATCTCACTAAGATAAATAGCACAAGAGGTAACGGGGCCCGCTGGGCAGCGAGCTCCGACTCGCCCATAAATATTATGAGGATATTTCCGGAGTAGTTGTCGCACGGGTCCGGCGGAAGACGCTTTAAGCTTTTAAATAAATAAAGTCCCTTTTTAGGAAAGGAGAGATTTTGACACTCCCCTGCTACCTAGCTTCTTGCCCACAGGTTTGCCTGATTGCGTGCCTGATAGGATACGATGTCTTTATCTAATTAATATCTTTATTTAAAAAAAAAACTAGTAAAAACAAAAAACTTTGCGGTTTAAGAGTGTAGGAGAATTTCTTTGAATATTAAGAAATTGTCTGAATTATATGAACAGATTTCATAGTTGACTTGTGGTTTATGAATTTCTTCTAATTATCACCGACTCCAAAATGCATTCAATTTTTTTTTCATGGAGATGGACGCATTAATAAAGTTTATATAAAATTCCTGTTCTACTATTAAAGTAGATTTTTTTAATTGAAAAAAAGGTGGATTAACATTAGAGCATTGCTATGTATTAAAGAGCTTAGGTTATTATTTAAATTTTATATATATTAATATGATAATATAAGGAATGGTTATTTATTAATAAAACCACCAAAATTTGTTAGAAAGTTTCCAGTGATTTGTTTTACTTGAATTCTTGAATCAAATTGTGATAAGAGTTCAGCACTTATCATGCTTATTTCATCAATGATTTATAGCCTTTATTTATATATATTTAAACATGGTTCTATATTGTTGTCCTATTTCAATCAATGTCTAACACACACTTAACACTGAGTAGAGAGGGGAAAGCGTCTGTCCGAAATACTGCTAACGCTGTTAGAGTGAGAGAGGAAGAGCCAACCGCTGCCGTATGGATGAGAGAAAGGAAAACTGGCGACAGACTGGCGCCTTAACGCGTTACGTAACGAAGTGGTTTACCGTCCCATAAGATATCACTTCAAAAATAATAATAACAGTGAACTTAAAAAACAAATTTAAAATGTCCATAAGGATCATAGATAATTTATAAGACTATAATTAAAATAAGTAATTATTTAATGTAATTATGTAATTATTTAAATAAGTAATTATTCATTAATTAACTTTGTTCTGTTTGATGGAAACATTTCTTATTGACACGGATTTTCGACTTTGACATGTATTTATTTTATTATAAGGGTTTTTACCTCCAACTAAAAAATGTGAAATTTAGATTATAACCATTCTCACCTAAATAGGTTTCTCTTTCTCAATCTTCTTCTTATCCTTAGATTAAATATTCTTAGGATAAAAATTAGAACTCGTGGCTTGTATGTTTTAAGCAACAGTCCTTCAGTGTCTAAAAGGGTGCCAGTGTTTGGCTTAACTATTTATTTAAAAATAAAAGGTGAATAGACGTTAGCAGGAATTGAGAAAGAAAACCATGGATATAGAGATTTGCTCAAAGCTGGAGGAGGTCTTTACCCGTGATTCGTGAAGGGATTCCTATCAATAGTTAGGATATCAAGTAACAAGATATTTTTTTAATGTGTATTGTATGTGTGTACAAGAAATCTAAACTGTATATTCAATATTTGTAAAGATTGGAAATAAACGAGCTACATTATTATTGAGTATTTATTTATAAAAGTAGTAAGTATTAAGCATATACAGAAGTCATAACTGCTACCTTTGCTACCAGCCTAGTGCGGTCTGTAAAACCTTAAAAAATTGGTATTCAGATTCACAAAGATCCTCTCCGTTGCTGTGACGTTGGAAGATGAATTCAAGTTTGCGCCGGAAGAAATTTATCTACAAAATCTAAAAACTCGTTGGTAGAAGAAGATCTAAGTTTGCTAAGACTGCTAGAATTGTGATGACAGATGAGAGTCCCTGGAAGAACTAGACTCAAACTCAAAATAACTTTATTCTTTTTAGTCGCTAAGTTTTGAGTCATACAAATTTGTTGAACTGGAGCAAATAAATCCCAAGGATTAGGATCATTTAAATAATCGTCAAATTTATAAAAAGCTTTATTTATCAATTTATGTTTAACGAGAGTTTTGAATTTATTCAATGATAATTCTCTAATTTCACTTGGGAGTTTGTTGCAAAAACGAATACAATTTCCATATAAGGAGTGGTTTATCTTTTGAAGCCTGGTTGGTCGTACGCTTAAATTAGTTCTGTTTCTGTTATCTTAATCCGCTAAACCGTATAGCGATACTTGAATCGAAGGAACGATTAAAAAAGTTTCCAAAGAACTTTTTGATAAATTTATTTATTCACACTTCGTTGCAATAAAAATTAAATAAACACAAATGACATACATAAAAATTAAAAGGGATGCAACGGGCAACTTTATCGCTAATAAGCGATCTCTTCCAGGCAACCATAGTAAGAGAAAAACTAAAAAAGAAACATGATGAGTGCAAGAAGTGCAGAACCAAATGTTATATAAAAAAAATATAGAACATTAATCTAAAGCAGTGATTCCCAAAGTGGTCTATATCGACCCCTAGGGGTCTATGACAACCTGCAAGGGGTCTATGTCAGCGACAAAAAATTTGGGGGTCCATGAAATGAAAATGGGGGTCCACGATAGTGGATCTCAACACATACACTGATAGTACATATTTACTTACATCATACTATCTTATAATATCAAAACATATACATTATATTGACTAATTGCTTATGTTATTTTATTTATAGTTTATTTTATGTTTATTAAATGCACCGTATATTTTACATAACAGATACAAAATTTTATTTTGAGTAGTTTTAATTTAAATTCAATTAATAAATGTATAAATTAACATGTGTTTTTACTTTATGTTTTTAACACTAAACTTCACTACAGTTAGAAATTTACAGGAAATTAATATCAGGTAAGTAGGGGGTCTACTCAACACGGAAAAACATGTCAAGGGGTCTACGACACAAAAAAAGTTTGAGAAACTCTGATCTAAAGTAAATACAAAAAAATATAAATAACAAACTAAAAACTTAAAAGCTAATCGTAAAGATTCATGAACTGCGAATAGTGAATACAAAAGAAAAGGAAACACAAGAATTACACAAGTCACGATTGATCAGGATAAGATAAGGTTAAGAAATGTTTATACAGAAGAATTTTAAAAGATGATAAATGTTAGTTCAAAATAAAAAACCAAATTTGAAATTGAAAAATTAATTACTTAATTGTAATTGTAGTACCTAATTAATTGTTTTGATCGTGGAACCGGTTTTCAAAAGGTAATTAGTCGTCTTTTTTGCCCCGAGACGTCCTTGATAATTTCTTATTACTTTTACTGTAGGTAATATCTTTCGTTTAACAACTTGTAATTTCTAAAATGACATGAAATAATTACAGATATATAAAAATATAAGCTATTTAAATAAAAAGTAATTGCAAAACTCGAAGATGGCTGACGGCTTTTAAATTTGTTACTTGAACTCCGAGGAAGGATGTTATGTAGAGAAAATTTGGAAAAATCCACGCACTAGTTTACTTTATCTGTAATTGTAAACGCGAACGGTCTGAGTTGAGTAGCACATCAAAATGTTCCATATGTTTAAATATTGTAAAAAAAAAAGTAATATTAGGGCGAAACGAAGTTCGTAGGGGCAGGTAGTTTTGAATAAATACTTGCGTGAAGTTTGAAGATATAGGTACACTTATTATTGTAAATGTAACTAAGTATGAAATATAGTAGAACCATCAACTCGGAAAAATGTTACAAAATTGCTACTAATGTAATTTAAAAAAATAAAAAAGCCGATATTACGCAGTGTTTCCAGGCGGTCACCCATCCAAGTACTGACCACGCAGGACGTCGCTTAACTTCGGTGACCGAACGAGAACCGGTGTTTTCAACGTAGTATGAACATTTTCCACCGAAGTGTAGAACACATCGGTTTCATTATTATGGGATATAAAGGGATATTTAATAATTAATTGAATATGTATCTTGAAAATTAAAAAATTAAATTAAAGCATTATTCTCCTAACAAAACAATGCTTTAAAACAATTTTTTAATTATTAAAGTACTATGTGTCCCGACCAAGGAGGATTCAATTCTATTTAAGTATGTACACATTATCTGTGGCGAGCGCGCTGGTTCCGAGCCGATCAGGATTCTGGCGGGAACCTTGAAAAAGCGCGGTTGACTTTAAACTTTAATTTTTTCTATAAATAGTGATTTTTTTATAGTTAAAGTGAATTTAAATATTGCTATTAGCTGCTGAAAAGCACAATAGCAATGGAGGTAAACGAGGGGGGCGGGTCTCACCCGCCCGCCTCAATAAAACGGCTAAGGCCTACGGATGAAGGAGGAGGCGTAGGCGCTGGACGATCGGACTGCGGCGATGAGCGAGATGCGTATCTGCCCTATTACAAACCGAACTATAAAAGACTTTATCCTGAAAACTCAACCAACACAGACTTTAAAGTGTATGTGGAGTCCACAAACGACGATAGATTGGGCAACAAGAGCCCTATATATTTAAATCATATTTTCGCAATGGACATAAAAGGTGTGACGGGTATTCAGAGGGTGAATGCCAATAAAATAGCAGTAATATTCAAGCAGTATAATACGGCAAATAATTTTATTAATAATACCACTTTCCTGACAAAATATGACATGAAGGCGTTCATACCGGCAGCGCAAATTGAAAAAACCGGCATAATTAGATTTGTTCCAGCGAACATCTCTAACAAAGAACTATATACTAGACTTTCTTCAGTATATGAAATAGTGGCAATAAGAAGGTTTTCAAAGAAGGTAGGACAAGAGCGCATTGCATTGCAAACTGTAAGCATCACTTTCTTATCTAATGTACTGCCTAATAATGTACAATACGATCTATTCTCGTACAGAGTTTTCGAATACATTCCACCTTTACTACAGTGCTATAGGTGTTTTAAATTCAATCATTCAGCTAAGATTTGTAATGGGAAACAAAGATGTAGTATTTGCGGAGGTGAACACTTGTATAAGCAATGTGATAAACCAACTGAGATCAGCTGCATAAATTGCAGTGGGCCTCATCTTGCGATTTCTAGATTATGTCCTATCAAAATAAAGAAGATTAGTGAAAAGAAAAGCAACATATCTTATGCAAGTGTTGCCTTAACAAAACAAGTTACCACCAATGAAACAGATTTCCCTCCACTCCCACCACCAAAACCACAACTTGTAAATAGTAATGTTATTGTAAATAAGTCTGTAAATATCTCTGCAAATAAGTCGGATGTAAATAAAGTTAAAATAGTCCCTTCTAAGGACCTTAAAAATCAAATAATTTCCAACAACGATGTACTTATGGCCCTAGTGCAGACGTTGGTGGAATTAGCCAATAAAGATGACAGTACACCTACTAATATGAAAACTATAAAAGATGCATTATTAAAAAATTTAACATAATGGATTGTGTAGGGCCTAGTTCTACACAATCCAAGCTACGTATTGTGCAGTTTAATATTCAAAGTGCAAATAGTAAAAAACCTTTATTAATACAATTTTTAAAACAACAAAATATTGATATTTGCCTTCTAAATGAGACATGGTTTAAAGATAATAATTTTAAAATAGCAGGATATAATATTTACAACAAAAATTCAAACAATGCACATAATGGAGTTGCAATACTAATAAAACCATATCTTAAGTATAATATATTAAATACTAGATTTTATGAAGATATACAAACAGTTGCTGTATCTGTATCAACTGGACATAGTAGTCTAACAATTCTCTGTATATACTGTCCACCTTCAAGTGGGCGTATACGATTTAATAGACTCCGTTACATTATTAATGATCTACCAAAGCCCATATTTATGAGTGGTGACTTTAATGCTCATCATATTGCATTTGGTTGTCAGTCAACCAAAGGTAGAGGTCAGGAGTTATTTAATTTAATTGATGACTTAGATTTGTGTATTTTAAATGATGGTAGACCTACAACCTTAAATCGCCCTAGACAAACTGCTTCTGCCATTGATGTAAGCTTCATCAGTGGTAGCCACGCACCACTATGTGAATGGTCTGTACATGATGATACAATGGGAAGCTACCATTATCCAACAATAACAGAGATTTCATTAGATATAGATAAATATCATCTCAATTCCCCTGTAGATAGGTTTATATATAAAAAAGCTGACTGGGAAACATACACAGATCTTTCAAAAACAATGTTTAATGATTTGATACTTCAATCACATGATCCTATTTCAACATATAATAATTTCTGTTCTCATTTAGATACTCTTAAAGAAATGTCAATTCCAAAGCTCACTAAAACAAACACTTTCATAAGCAGACCACCATCTCCTTGGTGGAATTGTATATGTGAACAAAGTGTTATTGCTTCATATAATGCACTAAAACTATATAGAAAAGAACCTACTATTGAAAATTATATTAATTACAAAAGAAAAGATGCCAAGAAAAAGAGAACAATTTCAGAACAGAAAAAAATTGGATGGAATAACTTATGTAACACTTAATAGAAATACTCACATAAGTAAAATTTGGAATTTATTAAAAATGTTCAAAGGCATAAGACCTAAGAATAAATCATATACAGATGTGTTTATATCTCCACTCTTGGATAAATTATCAGATAATAGCAACTTAATTGAAGTAAATCAACTGAACATTGTTTTTGAAATCAACAATGATAACCCAAATTCAAAATTTTTACTGGATCCATTTTCATGGTCTGAATTTTTAACAAGTTTGCACTCTAGACGAAATACAACTCCTGGCTTAGATGATTATCCTTACATTGTAATTAAAAACTTAGATGTTTCTGCCCAAAAGTTGTTTCTTAACATCCTCAATTTGCTTTGGAGTAATAAATCTATTCCACAGTCATGGAAAACACAATGTGTTGTCCCAATACTTAAGCCCGACAAATGTCCTGAGTTTGCTAGTTCTTATAGACCAATTTCCTTGTCATCCTGTCTTGGTAAAATATTCGAAAATATGGTGAAAGTCCGTCTCGATTGGTATGTTGAATCTAAGTGTTTCATTCCACATATACAATATGGCTTCCGTAGAGGGCGTAGTAGTGCAGACAGTTTCACCTCTTTAATCTCTGACCTGAAAAATGCAAAACATAGAAAATTAAACACAGTTTGCGTATTCCTAGACGTTCAAAGTGCTTTTGACAGTGTTGATCCTGGTATACTAGTTCAAATCATGTCTAGGTTGGGTGTGCCCGGGCACTTATGTAAGTGGATTTTTAATTTTTTGAACAACAGAACAATCTATGCTAGGCATAACAATATTCTATATGGACCCAAATGTGCCTCGAGAGGTACAATGCAGGGTGCCACACTATCTCCATTACTGTACAATATATACACAAGTGAAATTTGTAAATATGTAAATAATAGGAATGTAAATATTTTACAATTTGCTGATGACATTGTATTATACAGTAGTAATTACAACTTATAGATTGCAATAGATAATATGAACAAATCCTTATTTCAACTATTACAATATTATAATTATCGTTTACATTTAAAAATTAACCCATCTAAAAGTAGTGTTATGTTTTTTGGCAATGAAGCCTCAAATTCAAATATTATTTACAATAATGAAATTATAAATAGAGTCACTTCAAAGAAATTTTTAGGAATAATACTAGACCCAAAACTAACTTTTGAAGAACATATTAAATATATATCCAAAAATGCTCACGGAGGACTAAATGTTATCAGATCACTTTGTGGTGTAACATGGGGTGCAGACCCTAAAATATTGTCAATATTGTATAAAAGTATTGTTAGAAGTCACTTAGATTATAGCTCACTCGCTTATATGAATAGTTCTCATGTAAATAAATTAGACATATTGCAGAATAAGGCTTTAAGAATAATATCTGGTGCTATTTGCTCAACTCCCATAAGGGCCATGGAAGTTGAGACAAAAGTGATGCCTTTGATTTTGAGACGAATCTTACTTGCTGAAAGATACTGTCTCAAATTAATAGCATCAAACAACACTCAAGTAATAAACAAAATTGTACCTTATATAGATAGATCCCCAAGAAGACCATTAACAACAGCACAAGGTCTAATATGTGGTAATTCTCCAACAATGTCCGATATATTTCTGGAAATAGACAATAGTTTTTCTAAAGTTAGAAAACAGTGTCCATGGCCATGTTACTCTTTCTCTTATCAGTGTATTTCACATCCAATTAATGTAGTCCAACAGACAATAAACAATAATTCGGAAATGCTTCAATTTTTGGAGGAAAATACAATGTACTATGTTATCTACACTGATGGGAGCAAAGCAAGTGATTATGTACATGCTGCTCTTTATGATCCACAAGCAAAATTTTCTTCAAGTTTTATTCTGCATGAACCCTGCTCTATATTTACGGCAGAGGCATATGCAGTGTATCAGGCATTAATGCGTATTCGCGAAATCAATAATATTAAATATTTTTTAATAATTTCTGATTCCTTGAGTTTGATAACAGCTTTAACTACCCTTACAGTTAAATTCAAGTCTAATTATATCCTTTACTTCATTAAACAAATAATTCAACAATATCACAATAACAATATTCAAATTTTCTTTCTATGGGTACCTTCCCACAAAGGTATCTCTGGCAATGAAATGGCTGATAAAACTGCATATGAAGGAGTTACAGCCTGGCCACGGGACATTCGCCGACGCGAATATTCGCGCGGTGCGAACCGCGATGCGTCTAGCGACTGAAATAAACTCATAGCAATGTACTAATCAAGCCACGCGCAACGGCGACCAGCGATGCGACCGGCGAAATGTACCGAGCGAATCGCGCGGGCGACTGACGTCGCGACGGGCGAGCGAAACAAATGCATGAATCAGTACGGTGCAAGCCACGGAGTCGAGCGGCAGTCGCGGCGAATAGAGAAGGGAATAAATAAGTTTGTCGTGGTCGCGGCGAAAAATGAATACAGAGTTTTTTGTTACTGAAATACTGGCTAGACCAGCTATTTGGAAGTCTGGCCATCCACAGCATTAATTTAATATACCTTAATCTCAAAAACAATTTTTCAGCGGAACTTAAAATTCTATTTGCATTAACTTTTTTCTCCAATTCTGGTTGAATATTCATAAGAATATAATTGAAGGTTTCAATACTCATTCTGGTATACTCAAAAAAATAATTCTGGATATATTCTGAATTTCTCATACTTCTTGTGGAATTCTCCACAATTTCTCCAAATATTAGGTCTTGCACCAAAAGCTATTACTTTCCAAGCAATATCGAGATGATTTCGATAAAGACATTTCGCTGTCGAACTTCCTTACTGGTCGCGGCGGCAAACGTGACTGGTCCGTGGCCTGCAAACGGCCCCGCGCGAATGGTCGCCTCGCCTCCCGCATCGCCGTTCGCACCGCTGATCCCCGTGGCCAGGCCGTTAATGCTGTTGACGTTAGAAATACAATGAATGTTCCTATGTCCGATTACTTGCAATGTATTGACCAGAATATTCAAAATTTGTGGTTAGAAATGTGGAAGAAAGATCAAGATACGAAAGGAAAATGGTATGGAAGCATACAAGTAGACTTACCTGCAAGACCTTGGTATCATCGTATGCAAGATGTTCCTCGAGACTTTATTACTATCATAAATAGACTGCGTTTTGGTCATAATACTGCACCGTCACACCTTGCTCGACTCGGCATTATTGCGAATAAAACATGTTCACATTGTAATTCAAGTGATGGAACTGTGGAACACATTATCTTCGATTGTCAAAAATTTTTGATCGACAGACTAGTGTTGGCCAGTGAACTTAGTGATGTTGAAAATAAGTGTGATTTATTGTCCCGCCCGCCGCCTTTAAAACAATTGTTACAAGACGAACTTACTTATAAGCACATCTACAATTACATAAAAAATACAATAAAAACAATTTAATGGAATATGCTCATAGGCGTAACATTACGTCTATGAAAATTAAGAGTTGACCTAAAGGTTGTAAATGCCAGGTCATAAAATCCCAAAAAAAAAAAAAAAAAAAATGGTTCCGAGCCAATAGCCAATAACAGACTTTTCCATTTTGGCGCTATTTCGTACATACGAATTTGAGTAATATTTTGTTGATAAAACTTTAGTAGCAAAAATGTCAAGCAACACCGACGATACTGATGAAAATTTTACTCCACCTGACATTCTAGAAACAGCTACGAATAACGAAACAGTATTTTGCCAGAAAAATCAAGAAAAGCGTTCGACAAATTTACCAACAAAAAACAAAATAGACCTATCTTTTATCAATTCAAATATTACCAATTATGTAAACAATACATAGAACTGCGACCAAATTCATGTAGCAATCTTTCCTTCTAATTAAATTAAATTTCTGGGAAATGCACCCAACAAAGAGTTGGTATTAACAAATTTGGAATGTTGGGTAAAACGATAGCCAGTTATCATAATCTTCCAAACTCAGATTCGTACACGGGACATTGCTTCCGAGGAACTTCTGCGACCTTACTTATCTATGCTGGCGGAGACATAACAGCACTAAAGCGTCACGAAGGGTGGAAGTCAACAACAGCTGCAGAAGGCTACATAGACGATTCTATAACTAGCAAAATCTTAATATCCAATTAGATACTCAATTCCATAGAAAATAATAAAAATGAAATTAATATAAACGTTCCATTGTCAACCCTGTTATTCAGGTTCAGTTTCATAATTGCAATATTCAAAATGTGAATAATTATTATAATAATTAATTTGTTTCTTTTACATTGCATTTTATTTAATGTAGCTACCTATAGCCATGAGATTAAATAAAGTAGTGTATGCAACTGCATATAATTAGTATTAAAACCCTCGTGTAATCTTTTTTGAGAGGGTTTTGAGGGGATTTTGAGAGGGTATTAAACTACTCATGTTTTAATACCCTCTATTATATTACAGTTGCATAAACTACTATTATGGTGGATTCTTCTCCGCTCCGAATAGCAGAATAAGTAATAAATATCGGATAAGTTATCGAATAACAATAAATTAATTAATTAATTTTACGAATGCAAATATCATGTGGTGCCATCTGTTGACAAAACTACGCATCATTTTACATAGAATTTGTGTCAGTTTAAGAAACTCCGATCTTGAGGTGAATACAGAGATGCATAACCAGGCTTTGATCTTGATCGAAGACGCGTTACCTCATCAAAAAATGTTGTTTATCAGAAAGTGCTTTAAAATGCAGTATCGCAATATTGGCGCTAGAGAGAAGAGGCCTAATGTGTAAAACTGCCTTTTTTTTTGCAATGGCAAGCAATAAAACATTACAGTATTTGCAAAAAAAAAGTTGTATTAATGAAATCCGCCGGGTCAGCTAGTAATTAAATATTAAGAACTAGCTTCAATATTCATAAAAAAATAATCCGTCTAATTGCACTGTTGTTAATTGAAGCAGCCATATGTCTCTTTTCATTTGAAAGAGATTAAAAAGAATAGTAAGTAGCAGTGGGGGCCTTAGGGGGTGGCGAACAGGGCCATCGCCCGGGGCCTCGCCCTTGCAGGGCACTCTATCGATTTTAAAAATTATTAAAACATATCTGAGGAAAAATGTATCATCTTTGTATTTCTTAATTTTGTAAACCTTTCAATGTAAAATATTTTTAAACTCAAATTTGATTTATTTGAATAACTTTAGCATTTCTCCTTTGGTTTGGGTATTTGTCATGTTTGAACATGACAAATACCCAAACCAAACAACCAGACCTAATTTCGCATCACATACTTTTCACGAAGGACAAAGGGCCTCGCAAAGACCTGTTACCCGGAGCCTCACAATGAGGAAGGCCCCCTCTGCTAAGTAAATAAACTGCAATTACACTGCTATATTGAATAATAATGGGCCGGTCGTGGTGGTAGGTAGACCAAGTTAAGGAAACAGCATGTGGTACATGGTTGAGAGGAATGGTGGGATTTGGAGGTGGCCTTTACCAAAGAGGGCAGCTAAAAATAATGAGATAATATAAATTTAAGTGTAAAAGTATCAGAATAAATGGCTGCTATTATTATTATTCTCAATGCTTGTACAAATAAGCTAATTCTTAGCCCACAGGGTCAGGGGGGGACAGGGGACTCTTAAGTTAGGATGATCATTGAATGATTGAGTCGCTAACATCAGGTATAGCAATAAAATGAAAAGAGCTATACAAAGAAACTTTATTTAAGTGTGCTATTGATGTGATGTCCCAAGAATGTTTTTCTATCTGGTATAATCCAAACTCATCTTTGTTGAAGAAGTTGAAGAATGAAGTTTCGAAGCTCTTCAATAAATAATTACCCTTGCACTCGGCTCGTCTTGTTGGGCATGATAATTAAGACACTGACACTGCACATCACGTAATCTCATTTTTTATTTCAACCAGTTTTGAAAGTGATCTATTATCTGTCTGTTATGATTTCTCGTTTAACAAAAACTCCTTCCATTGGTAGATCTATAAAACATAAAGCTTTAAACATGTTTTTTTTGTACGTTAATCATAAAAACAGTAGAATGGCAATGACATTCAGTTGAATTATAATAAATATATTTATTATTTATTTATTCAAGCAGACAATCATAAGTCCATATGGTTATTATTGTGTTAGTTAAAATATTGTCCTAAATATTATATTATTAGGTTAGCTTGAAAGTAAATTACTTTAAACTTAAAACTTTTTTTTTAATTAATCATAAATTTAAAAACACATGCAGTCCTTTGCCAAGACACGTAAGGGTAATTTAGCCTTTCTGCTATTACCGCCAATATGCTCTTAGAGCTCCCCCGCACGCACCTCAACAGAGATAGATCGCTTGCGCATCATAGACTAAAAATAGTCCACACCAGCACAACCAACCATTCTAGTCACACTGCTAAAGCAAGGGAACCTCCTGAACACAAAAGGCATTGTATGATATTTTTTGTGTAACAAGACCACAGGCTACAGGCATCAAATGATCTACAATATGCTCTTAAGAGTGATGCAAACACCATGCAAACTGCCATTTACCATATTAGCTCTAACACACTGCTCAATTTGTTCCCACTCAACATCAGCATGGTCTTTCAGAGATAACAAAATGTATTTGACTTTACTTACCCTGTCTTAATAGTCAAATGTGTATAAATTATTAATTTTCATCAGTTTTCATGAGATAAAATTACTCTACTACAACTATGCACATTCAATTGAAATTACCTTGAATAGCATAGGTTATTGGTACCTCATATTCTTGAATTTGGTTATCTTCAAGATCTGTTTCAACTTCTTTAACAATCAGTAGTGGTTCTATTGTTGATGTATTTTGACAGTCAAATTTTGAAGGAATGCAATTGGATTTCATCTTGATTCTTTTCACAGAACCCATAATTTTATACCTATGGTAGTTTTCCATGTCATTTTCCAACTGTAATTAGTTAAATGAAGATTATATATATATATGTAGTATTTAAGAAGTCCTGCTATCTAAGTTACAAATAGCAGCTTATCCATTGACTGATATAAAAAGAATGTGCCAAGCTGACAAAGTTAGCATGTTTTAATGAGAATGTTCATGTTTATCAAAATGAAACCTATGTCTAAGGCTTAATTAGAATTTAGATATTATTAAGCTATGTAAAGAATAATCCTACAAAATAATTATTTTATATACCTATATACATATATATAAATAATTATTTATTAATATTAGCAATAATAGTAACATGAGTACAAATGAAATTATGTAACTTAAATGATTACAGAAACACCCAAACTGCCTACGGAATTTAAACACTATGTCATATTTCCTGAGGCAGAAAGTTGTATTGAATGCAATCATAGTAGGATTTCAAAGTATATTTAAGCATATTGAAGGCAAATTCAGCAGTGAAAATGGTGTGATCCTTACTGTCATCTCTTGGCACATTGTCGCCAAAACCTTGACAAATACAGTAGTTGTGATACAACCCAGAAAAATTCCAGATAGAAGAGGGTCAAGTATGAAGGTTTTATTTATAAATTCGATATATATATGAGATTATGTGAGGTGCTCTAGTCATAAAAATGAACCGAAAATCTAATAAACTTATGGGATCGAGCAATTTGGAAAATGGCATAACCAAGAAAGTAGCAAATTTACCATTTTCTTTGTACTATATACTTACGTCGAAGTGATCTTCACAAAAATAAACGCTTGTCTTATCAGAAAGATTATTCGGATCTTTACCAGCTCTCTTTAACCAAGTTCTTCTCATGTATAAATCAACGTGCGGCACTTTAATAAACAACTTATTGGGTGTTTTTGTACATGTATTTTTACATCCTGGCACAGCACACCAGCGATATTTTTTAAAATTCATTGTATTTTAAACCACTCACTTTTATGCGATTTTCTAGTTAATCGTTTCTGAACCATATTACCAACTCATCTGTGGTAAATAAATAACTTTCTGTTATTAGTTATACCTAAAAACACGTAGAAACTAGAAAGATAAAACAAACAATAAGAAAAAAAAGGTTTACGTTATACGTATCACGTATGACTGATGACACTGACAGCTCAGTTTCATAATCCATAGAAGTTATATTATTTTATTACTATTGTTGCCATAGATGATCATTACACCCCACATCCAACAAACTATCAAATTGTATAGAGATATTGTAATCTGGATCTTAAGGCTATATTACACCGGGGCAACACTATGCGGCATATATGGCATACGGCAGCCTATTTTAGACGAGGCAACGTGCCTGGATAATTTCCAAAGCATTGTGCTGTTTATGGAGTGTTACTGGTATACCTACTTGTTTGATCGAGGGGATACACCTTAGAATATGGCTGATGAAGTAACTTTAGCAGCAGATTATTTAGTACTACTAAGCCATGCAGCTACACAACGGAAGAAGAAACGTTGGTGGAAAAGAATTGGCCACGGACTAGTTTACTAACAAAAATTAAGGCTGAGGACTTTGAGGACGTTTTATGTTTTTTAATAATTATTTTTTTATTTCCTTAAGTCTAAAATATATTTATCATTACACCACTTCATGACCGATGATTCTCAGTTTCCAAAACAAATAGAAACAAAAACAACCTACATACTGTTTGGACGCTCGAAAAATGTCGCATGGAATCCATTGTGCTCGGATACAGCCACATGATGCAAGGTGTTGCCATGCCGCACGGTGCATGTGTTCTTGTGGTATGCCGCAATGCGGCACAGTGTTGCCCCAGTGTAATATAGCCTTTATACCTATTCATTTTTTTGAAACCCTTAATAAGATTTCCTTTAGAACTTATCTCGTAACCTTTATGGTCTATATTTGTGGATAGGAATGGATATGGGAATATATCGATTATATTACTATTCTAGAAGCTTTTTTAATTGGATACGTGGAGGAAGGATATTGTGCGCTTCTTGCAAAATAAAGTCAGTGACTCAGTGGCCAGAAAGTTTCAGGGTACGACGTCATCGCAGTTATTGTAGCCGTATAATGTGTCGCTACAGATATAATAAGTGGAATAGGTATTACATATATAGGTAACATATAATCTCTTTAATATCAGATAATTTCACTACTTTATATATATATTTTATTATAACTCATTTACACAATAAATTGCTTTAAAGTTGTTGAAATGAGCCTGTGAATGTCGTCATTCAATAATCAAAGTAGATGCGCTGACGGACGCCGCACAGTTTCAAGATACAATTGTTTGGACTCGTAGGGGCGGGTCAATTTGACGTCTACGTCATGTTAGTCTAACTATTGTCAGAAGAATAGTATTATACTTCTAGTACGAGCTTAGTTCTATTTAACTAACGACTTTTGGGGCCTATGATACTATTCGAGTGTAGTCTGAATTTTCATTCCCTAGAATTCTGACATTTCATTAGTGTTGCTACTTACAAAGTTCTCCACCGAAAAAGGGACAATTTTGACCCATTTGAGGGCAATAAAAAATAAAATGCTACGTGTTTTTTGAAGCTATACTTCTTTAGGCGCGTTATGAAAAATTTATGAGAGTGAAATTTTACGATGCGCGCGCACCGTGACACAAAATTATCAGTATGGGCACCGAGCGTGCGCGAGCGAGATGAGAATAAGACAATCTACAAGTAAAAAGAAATAGAATATGCGTGACGTTAGCAGCTATGCCAAGAATTTTGAATGACCATAATGACATTTGTAGTACCTTTTAAACAAATAAAGGAGTTTTAATTATTTTTTCAAACAAATTTAGCAATTCTTTTTCACAAAGACCTATTGTTACTTAGTTAAAAGTTTATGAAACATACCTAGTTATTAAATTGAATTAATAATATAATAAAATAAAAAATAATTATTATTAATGGAATATAATATACTAAATATTAAATATTGTTAAATTATTAACGCTAAATATTTATTATTAATTATTTAATGTTTAAAAAATAAAGAAAGCCAAAGAAGTATAACTTCTTACGCGCGTACATAAGTACACGCACCATTTTTTTGTTTTACCTACAAAAATGTAAATCTAAATATTTACTTACTCAAGTGACCTAATACAAAAATAACAAATATTTCAATATCACGAACAAAATATTGAATTAACTCTAATTACTTTTTTTTTATTCTTTAGCTGGCATCACTACCTACAAATTCCAGGTTAATAGTAAACCATTAAAAAAAAGTTATCTTTACTTGTGCGTTTTTTACTGTCCGTGATGAAAAGGGACGTAATTATCACTCACCGTACTCACACTCAAACTCAAAATATCTTTATTCATGTAGGTAAGCAAGTACACTTATGACTTGTCAGAAAGAAGTTAAATTAATTGTAAATTTACATTTACTACCAGTTTGCAAGTCAAGGGCGTAGAGCGGGTAAGAAGATCTGGCAAAAAACTTTCCGCCACTCTTTTTAATCGCCAAGTATTGTCATACAAATTGTTTGAACGGGAGCAAATCAATACCAAGGATAAGGATCACTTAAGTATTCCTCAAATTTATAAAAATCTTTTTTGATTAATTTTCGTTTAACGAGGGCTATGAATTTATATAGTGATAATTCTCTTATTGTAATGTTGTAAAAACGAATACAATTTCCGTAAACCACTTTAATTGTGGAGCACTGCACTTAATAAAATGGATACATTAATTAACACATAAAATGTATATATAAACTTAAATGTTCAGACTCGTATTTAAATTGAAAAATGTGCCTGGCCAAAAAAGGTTTGTAATCTCTGACATGTCAAAAAATCTACGGAATAAAAAACCAGAGTATAGCCAATATATTATTATGTCTGTGTTGGAGTTTGAATATGTAAATAATGGCAGGCAACACTTGTGAAGAAAAAGTTTTTAGTTTCGAATATTGGAATTTGGAATGCCTGTTTAAATTTTATATAAAATGATTGTTTTCTGTTTTGAAAAAGTACCCCATTCAGGCCGAGCCCCATGCCAAAACAGTCCGAGCTGAGCTGTTTGCCTTTAAGGACAACAGCGAGATTCCAAAAATACATTATTGTAATCAATGTGTAATAGTCTAGTGCTTGGAATATATATATATATATATATATATATATATATATATATATATATATTATATTAAACTGTAAACATGAAGTAAGTGTCTTGTCTCGCCTCCAGTGTGACCGTTTTTAGTATATTCAGTACCAAATTGGTATACATTTGGGCTCCGTGTAACTAATTTAATATTTTTTTGGTATCCTTTTATATTCTGATATTTTTTGGTACATTTAAACTTTCAACATTTTAAAACACATTTTGATATATTTTTGGGCTGGGCGGGAAACACGCACTTCCATTCATTCGTATTTCGTTCACATGTTTTTGTCTTTGTCTGATGTTTACCGCAACTTATTACTATCTACGTTACATGCTGTATAAAAAAGACCACGGATGTTTTAGTTCTTTATTTATTTCTCTCTGTGTGCATATGTTGTGAAGATAATGAAGCGCAAATACGATCAGAAATATAGATCTGAGTGGGAACAAAATCCTGAATTTTCGTCATAGTTGACAAAAGATAAAAATAATGAGAACGCCTTGTGTAAAACTTGTGGAGCAACATTTTTAAGCAGAATCGCTACAATTAAAAGTCATGCATATTCTGAAAAACATCGGCAGAAACTTATACATTATAGTGGACAATCCAAGGTAAGAAAGCTAAGCCCCCATTAACATATTTATATGATTATTGTGTACCATATTTTTTTATGGCACATGAATTTATTGTCCTACTTCTACAGGCTGTCCGATGAATCTTGGATAGTACATGTACAATTGTTCACACATGTATAATTGATTCTCAAGCGATTTCAAGCTCAATTTTAAAATTTTCATAAATGAGACACGTCTTTTAAAATAAAAATAAAAAGGTATTTTACTTATTTTTTACGATACGAAAATTAATGAAATCCTGTTTATTTTCAGAACGATGATAAATTACTTCAAAGGAAAGAACCCATATCTGAAGAAGTAAGAAAAGCAGAGCTTATATTATGCAGCGTTGGCAGAACATAACATACCATCTCGGGCCATGAATCATCTCAGCGATTTATTCAACAAAATGTTTTATGATTCGGAAATCGCAAAGGGCTTTTCCTGCAAACGCACTAAATCTGCTCAGTTAGCTCAGTGCAGCGAATACTGACTTAGTATTTGTAATAAAACTTATTGTAAATATTTATTATTATTTTAATATGTCTGTATTATGAAGGTGTGTAATTGGTAAAATTAAAAAGTAACTGATAATAAGTGTTTTAATAAAAAAAAAAAAAAAAGGGTGCGTGTACTTATGTACGCGCGTAAGAAGTTATACTTCTTTGGCATTATTAAAAATAGTTTTTGATTGCATGCAAATAATTAATTACAATTAAATAATCAAAGACTGGAAAAGGAGTCATTAAAGTCAATAAAGTTCAGTTTACATTTGAAAAATTAATTAAATAAATATTTATTATTATTCTCTTACATTAAACAAATAAAACACTATTTATCTTTAAAACATTTTTATTTCATTATACTATTTATTTTTAAGTGACTCTAATGTCTTCATCAGAATTTCGGTTTGTAATTTTAAATTAATCATTACTTGGTTATGCATCTACGAGGCTTCTCCAAAACTACTTGCTTTCTGCAACAAATAAGAGAATATTAATTTAAGCTCTGTCCATGCAAAACTTAAAATTTTTTATAATTCATATTATAAATTTTTTAACACATTTATATTAATATAATTATATAAATGTGTTAATAATATAATTTGTAGCACATGCTACAGACCTGGATAGCAACTTTCTTTTATTCCATTTAGAGATAGAGATAATTTAAATATAATACCGGTGTCTTCCTTGTAGGTTTCTTTGGAGTTGTTTGGGGATTCTTGTTGTTCAGTTCGACATGATTTTCTTTAACCTTTCTTTAATCCTACAAAATAATGAAATTGTTAAGTTATGTTGTCACTGTTGTGCACACCTTTGTTTGGCTTTTTTAGTATTCAAGTTATGTCAAAACTGATTTATTACCTTGTCATTGTTGGCTTTATTTGCTTTTGGGATATCAATTGTTTCCAAAATGATTTTATTTGTAATAACCTGAAATATATAAATAACATCTATTAATTTAAGTATCATGGTGAGTGGTTCGCACTCAGGTATTAAGGTGTATTATACCCACTGTCCATTATAAGTGGGAATGGGCTCACTTCTGGCAGGACAGAGTTTCGGTACTACAAGTGCAACATGGATGTTTTGAGGTATTACAATATCTCTAACTACCCTGTAGGGGAATAATGTTGTAAGCATATGCCTATGCTTGAAAGGTTGAACCTTGAACATCACCATACATCATATTTATAATTAACATTCCTACCTCGACACCATCACAATCAAATTCATTGAAATCTACTTCAAACCATTGTGTCTCGAGAAGGTGATGGTGGCTTTGTTCCACCTCCAGTTTTTGATGTTTCACGGCGATAAGATGACAACTCTTTTTTGTATTCAATTTAGTGCACTTCCACTGATTCATCAATTGTTTTTTGTCTCTTGTCCTTATATTTGCTAGATTAAATCTGATGTTTTGATTAAATAATGTGGTCATTTTTTTTGAGATGCAGGTACTTATTAAAATGTTTACTTCTCTGTTATATCGCTCCAAGCCTTCATTTTCTCCTTATTAGTATTCGTGCTTAAATCTTTGTTCTCAATTATTGATATATAGGGTCGTAGAATATTTCTAAAAAGTTGCTGTAACAAACGCAATAAACAAAAGCAATGAATAATGGTTCATGTTTCAGTTTTAATCAACAATAATACTCGATAATACATACGGATAGTTAACCTCAATTGTATTGAAGCACTCAGGAAGGTTAGCACAGTTTTTTCACAAATATTTTATATTATTTCACAAATATTTTGTATAATGAAAATAACTAGGTATATAATTATTAATTTTAAACAATAATTAAAACTCCTATATTTGTTTAAAAGGTAAATGTCATTGTCAGATGTCAATTGTCATGGTCATTCAAATTTCTTGTTAAGCTGCTAAGCTAGAATATGCGTGAAGTTAGCTTCACGCATATTCTATTTCTTTTACTTGTAGTTTGTCTTATTCCCATCTCGCTCGCGCACGCTATATCACACTGCCAATTTTGTGTCATAGGTGCGCGCGCAATCGTAAAATTTCACTCTCATCAATTTTTCATAACGCGCCTAAAGAAGTACAACTTCAAAAATCCTCTTTTTCTTTAGGTATAATTCAGCATGTGTTTTGGTATTATTTAGTACTGGCACCTTGTAGTTTTGGTAGATCGCCATTTCTTAAAACGGTCACACAGCACACTGGTCGCCTCCTCGTCAGTCGTCCCCTTAAAATGGAACCGTTCAACAGGTTATGGGCCCATACAATTTTAAAAGATAATTATTTAATATGATGTAAGTTTTAATGAGGGAGAAAACTAATTGAAGTAAATCAAATGAATTTAATTATTGGAGGAAATAATAGGAATGGAGTTAATGTAGTTTGAGAAGGTGATATAGGAAGAAATGATAGAAGTTCGAGAAGATGTTGTAAGGCGTAATAATAGAGGAAGAAATGAAAATCAACTTCTCAACTTTCGTGATAGGCATGTTATGTCCTAATTTCAATTCATTAACATGTAAAGAGTGAAAACTAGCTGAAAACATGTCTAGATATGGTACCATACCAACTTTTCTCATCATTTTGTTCAAAATCTTTGTATTCCAAACCATTTCTCGTTAATATAGCCAGCCATATTTTCTCTTTTGTGTCATTGGGAATGCTGTAATCTTTTCCCTTGTAATGAATTTGGTACGAAGTGGCTTTTGTTTTCTTTATCTTGTGAAATTTTATCAAATATTGGCAAATTTGGTGCCCCTGACAGATTGACAATTTACATTGTGTTCTGTAAATATAATGCTGATTATGTGGTTGCCTACAGTTATGTTTGTTGCCACATTTTCTATAGCTGAAAGCTATTTTTATAATTTCATTGTGCATGTCCATGATTGATGCAATGCAAGAGAATTTTTTATCTGAGTTCAAATGTATTTTGGGTTTCTTTGCGTCTTCTATTGTCTTAAGGGTATCAGGGTCAACAATGATATTTCCATTCTTTCTCTTTAAGCTTGTGGCTCCAGAAGTGCTAGCCATTGTATCAAGAGGATTTTTTGATTCAGTCGGAAGTTTAATAAAAAAAGAAGGTTCTGTTCATACTATTTTTTTTTAACTTTTAATTTGTGAAAAAATAGGTGAGAAACATTAAGAAATGAAAGATAATGTCAGGTTGTATGTGGTTTTTGAATTAAAGTGTTGATTCCTGATAATTTTATATTTTTGTTAGAAATATGAGTAAATGACACATCACAATTTGTTATAAACCAAGCTATTTAATTGACAGGCCAGGAAATCACAACATTTATTGATGCTTTGCACTGTTTGCATAAGCCACTGCAAGTAATTCTATCTCCCCTTTTGGTGGAATATTGTTTAAAAATCCAAGAACAGGGTGTTTTCATTCCCATTTCTTTTTGAGAACAGTTTTTGCATTATGCTTCACTAGAACTTGTTTACTTATTGGCTGTATTTTTTTCCCATTGGTATATATTTCCCATTGGCTTATAAATTCAAAGTTTATGGACTTACTTGAGTTTTTTACAGTAGGGTCGTTATTATCGTCTTGTATGCTACTGTTTCTCTGTTCTTCAATTTCTGTGATGTTAAAGAAATAATTCAAATTCTTTTGAACATAAATATAAAGGCCTGGCCTTTTTCTGTGATCGGGTTAGCTCACACTTTTTATTTCTGTACACCGGGTCACTTGCTGAAGGGAGGTGATTATTACTTTGAGGCATTTCTCTGTAAGCTCGTACAGGTCCCATAGAAATGCTGTCCTAGCAATTATTTTTAACATTTACTAAAACTAAAAAACCCTGTTCTATTTCTAAAAACAATTAGCTAATCTAAAGCCGTGCAAGAAGTACTTATGATATGTGTTATAATTTGAGACAATATTTTGCCTGTGTTTGCCATTATCTTCTTTTTCTCTGTGTTCAAAGAAAGTGGCATCAAATCTATGCACTCTTTGATCACTGAAGCAAGGTACTGTGACAATCTGATTGTAGATTCCAGACAATAAACCGGTCTGATTTTACTCATGACATCTTAGCATAATATCTCACTACAGGAAGCTTTACCTTTGTGATTATTTGTGTTTCCTTGCTGTTTGAAACACATTCCCAATTGTTCCCAAGTATACCAATTCAACACATCTGTTGTGTCTATATGCTCAAATCTTTTTTATAGGTCCCAAATATCCCAGGATATACAACTTGGGATGCCATTTCCTCTTCCATCCTTCCACAAATTGAAAAGACCTTCCCTAATTCAGATGCCTTTTGTATGCAAACCAACCTCCAGCGACTGTAGTGCTGAAAAAAAAACACATAGACTTCTTGTGTCCTTCTTCATATGCCATAATGCAGCAAATATTGCAAGTGAGAAAAACATTCTTGTTGCCTGTCTTGAACTAGTGGCTAGTAAAATTTCTGCTACCAGTGTAGTTAATGTTGACATTTCTGATGCCTGTTTTGTATTTTTAGTAAGTTCAATTGAATCGCTTGTTTCCACAACAGCACTTGTCCTAAACTGTTTTTTTAGAGTAGGAACAAAAAACTAATAATAATTAATAATAAACTAATTCGTGATATTTTTTGTGGGAGAAGCTAGTAAAATTTTGAGTCACAAATAAACAAAAGGCATTTCTTCATAAGAAAAGTTAAAAACCACCATGTGCCCTTTGGTAAACAGAAGTGGACATGTGTCATTTAGTCAGTAAATTACAATTAAGGATGATCATATTAAAATAAAACCATTTAGTAAGTATGTTTTTAGTCTTTATTTAGAAACAAATCATACAAATTTAATCATCTATTTCACCTTCGGCTTGTGTTGTGGGCCATGTCAATATTTTATTATAAAAATCTTGATGAGTGTCAGGAATGTAGCTAACCCTTTAGTTCGCAGAACAAAAAATTCTCAAAATTCGTATTTTTTTCTATTTATACGCTTTATTTATGAGTTAAAACTATACAGAAAAATTACAAAAAAAATATAGAATGTGCCTATTTCGAGAAAACATATGTCGTTCAAATACGACACTGCGCATCCCTCTAAGATATAAATTGAATAATGTATGTCGTTGACAACCAACACTGCGGCATACTGTAGGAAATAAAGCAAAAAGATAAAACACGTTTTTTATGAAATATATTTTAATGTTCGTTACAAAAAACAAACTTAAGGAATGTTACTCACTAACATGGTAATTATAAAAACAATTTATTTTGGCTACCAAACACAGTCTAAGGTTAGGTACATTTGTTACAAAGGATACTTCAGTATCCCTTTTTACAGTACTTGCACCTCCCTTGAGCTACAAAAGTCGGCAGGTGCCCTAAATTGTCGAACCGGACGGCATCAGGTGGTCTTGGAGCAGAAGGAAGTTTTATTTTCACAGCTGCATCATTTTCCTGTACATCTTCCTGATGAATTCTGTTTTTCTGCAATAGTTCTGTCACTAAATCTATCCTAAATTCTTTTAGAGACTTTGTTTTTGTGTTTGGTCGATCTCTCCTATATTGCAGCCATGCATTATTAGCACAAATATCCAGAGCCTGTGAAAATAAAGCCATGTACCATCTTTTTGTCTTAAAATTGGAGCGATACAAAGATATCAGCATATCTGATAGATCCACCCCGCCCATGTGAGCGTTGTAATGCTTCACTATTTGTGGGCACTCTACATCAACTTTAGATTTAGTTTCCTTGCAATATCGCTTTATCTTTTCTTTTGGATGTGAATCAACATACGAACTTGCTAATGTCACTACTTTATTGTCAAACCACTTGACTACGGCAATTTTATTGGCATTGCACACAATCTGTTGATTTGCGCCTCTTCCTTTTTTTGCCAGTACCTTGTCTGATGACAAAATGGTTTGACATCCCCTCAAACGATTATTCTTTATCGACCCTAAGCTAAACAGGCCATATTCGTTTTGTAAATGTTGAATAAGTTCTAGCGACGTAAAAAAATTATCAAAATAAACCGTTGAAGGCTTTTCTTTAATGGTCTTACAGAGTGCTATAACGACCTTAGCACCAAGACCCAAACTATTCTCATACTCTGTAAAACATCTCCCCCTGAAAGTATCCTCACCGCCGTAAGGGAGGAAATCATATATGAAGCCGGATGCTCCTGCTCTTACAAAGATTTTAAAGCCCCATTTTTTTGGCTTTTTTGGCAAATATTGGCGTCTACTTCCTGCTCTTGTGCCTTTGTAGGGCACCATCATTTCATCGACACTGTATTTTTTTTCTTCCACAAGCTGTAAACAGTTATTGCAAACACATTCCAAAATTGGTGTAACTTTGAAATACCGGTCGTCATTTGTGTCTGTGTTGTCTACAAAATGAAGATATCGTCGTATTTTTTCATATTTTTTTAAAGTCATTATATTAGCCACAAGGGGATATCTCAAAGCATTACTCCAATAGCCTCTGTAACTTGGCATTTGTACTACACCCATCAGTAAAGTTATGGCGATAAAATCTCTAATGTAGTAATGTTGATACTCCGGGCTGCTCCACTTTGAACTGAATACAAATTAGTGTTATCTGTAATTAACTTGAAAATATTTTCTGAAAAAAAAGGCGTTAAAGTAATCTAAGGGTGACTTTACGGTTGCTTCGACTGGTGGTACATACGACGGTAATTCGATGATAGCTGAATGCTGAAATTTATTGCGTTTCCACTTAAATATTAAGGGTTTCCTTACAAACTTCTTTACTCGTTTTGAGACAACTCTAGACACTGCGTTTGTCTTTCTTTTAGAACGAGTTGTTGCAGCCGGGGAATTAATAAGTGGAGATAGCACTGATGAAACTGAATTCAATAGAGGTAATTGCTCCTGTGGCCTACCACTGGGAATCATTTTGTTTATTACGGGTGTCAATGGAACGGTTTCTTCATCTGACAATACTATTTGTGCATGAGGAGATGGTATGTTTTCTATGTCTTCGTCATCGGAAGTCAAAATATTCATACGGTCCAAGGAAGAGGGATAAGACTGTGGATACAAACTGCAATAGGTTATATCATCATCATCATAATTTCTTTTTTGAAGGAGATTCTCATCGTCAGAGCCACTGCTATCCGACGACGGTGCCTTTTCTGGTGGTACTAGCGCCATTATAGCTCTCGTACGTTGCCATTTTGGTTTTATCTGGAGCAAACAAAATCAAAACATACCAAACCACACCCAAAGCAACGCAAAAAATAAACATGCTAAACCGTTCACCACACATAACCAATAATATAGCATACAAGGTTATACAATATAGTATAGGTACAAGGTTTAAAACATTCAAGAAACAAAAAAAAACTTATTGCAGAGTATTACGCTAGTAAACGGGCAGTGTAGCTCGTGAACAACGTCTAAAACATCAAGTACCTTGCTGCATGTCTCGCAGTGTTGTTCACCAACAACACACCTATTTCGAATACTATAAAACGTTATTGAAAAGATAAAATAATCATATTAACACTTTAAAACATTTAGTAGGTATACTAGTTTATAAAATCAGTGTGACTTAATCATTTAAATCAGTTAATACTCACAAAAAAATATATATTTACCTTTAATCCGGACGCTGCAAACATTTGCGATGCCATCTTGCAAACGAATGTTAGAAAGAGCGCATAAAGTGACAGTTTGATATTTTTTTCAAATTGCGTTCTGTTTCACCTAAGCCGTGAACATGAATAATCATTAAAAATAAAAACGATACGTAAGTTTTTTTTTTTGTTTACTATGTCGTTGAGCAACAACAATGCGAATTAAAGGGTTAATAAGCTTTTTAATATCTTGAATTTTCTTTGCGTTTATGGGGTTTACAGTTTCATATGCTTTTTCACATGGCAACCGCACTCTATGGGCAATAAGTAGTTTGAATGTACTTCTCACAGGGTTGTTAATAAATTCATGTGCCTAGATAATACCAGCCCTTAATTAAATGTCTAAATTCTTTGAAGACAGTGGGTTGGAAATAGATTTTCTGTGATCTGATGACACCTCTGCCTTTGGTTTCCTCTGATATTGCTGTTTTAGTATAATATCTTGGCCACCAGTTCTTGAAGTCCAAAAATAAGTCCCCATCATTTAAAACCTTTACCTCTAATCTGCCTATTGTTTTTACAAAATTTGTTATTATTGTAACATATTCCATTGGAACGTAAATTTGGTCACTTTTTGATAAGCATCTTTTTATGGTACCAAAATCCCAGTCACAAGGGTTATATGAGTGACCGCGCACAGGGAAATACTGTCTTACATTTTTAAAACGGCCGGTATCTACAAGTGCAGCACAATATCTAATCATTGTATGATTTTTGTTTTGTCCGGTACACCCATCAGAGAACAATCTTAAATTCTTAGCTATTAGCTTAATCTAATTATGTATGCTTGTGGATTATCTATCTTAGTTATATTATCGCTCCAAAATTCACCAGGTAAACGCAAACAATGACCTAGAGTGAATTCCGCTGCGCTTATGTTTTCGTTGTCCGCCTGACACGCTGCTCGCAGTCCTAGCATAACCGTAGGTAATTCTGCAAACCAAGCTGTGTTATTGTTTAGCCTCGCCATCAATGCCGCTTTTAATTATGCCATCTTTCTATTTTACGGATTTTGAATCGGATCTTGATTCTCCAAGTTGTCCATGTTAAAATCTTCAAAAGAGAAGATAAAATAAACGAATTTTTTGACAAAAGTTGGAGATTGCGGATAAGATTCAACGATTTCGACGTAATTTACATGATTTGGGGATACATCATGGTGAATTAAAATTGATGGCGATAAATTACTGGGAGGAAGAACTTCTCCTGCAGCAGTATCAGCCATTATTATAGATGATTTAGATTGATTAAGGACTCTTTCAGGTTACATAGTTCCCCTTTTCACCATAACTTTTTTATGTCCGGGGTCATCAATGAGGTTCGTTTCGTCGTAATTGATTATAGTTTTTGGATCAATTTCTTTCAGGGATACCTGTAATTCGTGAAAGTATTCTTTAATTGTTTCGGAAGAAACTTGAGCCCTCGACTTTTTTTATGTTTTGACACATTCTCAAAGAAATGGTATCGTTGTCTTTTTAAAAATCTTCCAGCATAATCTGCTCCAAGCAAATAATATTTGAAGCGCCGCGCCTGTGTGTGATGCCTAAATTATCCAAACACATTTTAATGAGAATTCTTAAATCGTACGTGTCTAAAGGTTAACCCCAATTTATATAATTGACGATGTAGTCTTCCTTAGTCTTCTATTAGAAACTTTTTAATTTTTTGCATAAATAATTAAACGCCCCAACAACAACAAAATTTACATTGGAACCATTCCACTTTCTGCTTTTGTTTTGTCGTTAAGTTTTGTTTTCCTTAGTCCTCCTTTTTCATTTGAGACAACACTTCATCTTCAGAGTTATTGTCCGTGGATTTATCATGTAGTGAAATGTTTCTTCTGTCACTACTGTTACTACTTACTACTGACATATTTTTTAATCAATTGACTTCTTGGTAACCATCTTCTTTGCCAACTATTTCTTCAGTTTTGAGTTCTTTTCTCTAATTTTGTCCTACCCTGCAGTATCTGTTATAATTACAGACGACATTTTCGGGTCTTTCGGGCCTCCCTAGTTTTTTGCCTTGGATCTGCTTTTAAAAATGGTCTGATCTATTCTGGTGTAATCATTTGTTCTTTGGAAGTAAAAGGCAGTCATATAATTTGTTCACTGGAATACAGGACACTCTTTTACTGTCCGGAAGTGCTGGGAATAAGTATCATCAGTATAGAAGAACATGAAGCTCTCAAATCTTCTCGTGCTCCGTACTCAGAGGTACTTGGCTTTGCGTCATCCTCTGAAAGTTGTTGCTTATCCTTCTTTGGATTCTTGAAATATTGGGACCTAGGGGTAGGCCTGCGCCTAGGGACATCCCTACTAGGATCTTACGGCTCTGGCTCATAATTCCAGTCTTCGCCGATTCGTAACTGGTTGAGTCGATTGTAAGCTCTCCGCGCGTCGCAGGCTGCTCGGCGGTTACCGCCGGCCTCTGCCACGTGGGTTATTACCACGATTCTGTTGCATCTCTATTTTCTTAGAGGTATAATATGTCAAAAAACTAATTTCACCCGAAACCCTCTGTGTCATCACTTTGAAAGTAGGATTCCTCCTGTCCGAGAAGGCGTTTTAAATACTAGTAATCAGTAGCCCTTGTGATATCATTTGAAACCTCGTTTTCGTTCCACCAGAAAAATAGAGAGTTCCTGGTCCTTCAAAGCTAAGCTAAGCCCCATGTAAAAGTTGTAATCTTTAATGACACACAGTTTTAAATTAAAATATTTACGCCGGCTCTTCTGCTCGCAATCATGTCCTCCCTGCGGTAAGTTGAAATGGCCGTTCCTAATTTAACATCTTTCCAGCTGACCAAGAAAATGTCCCCGCAATGCCAGAATAATGCTGCTTCCCACTGCAACGATTTCTTTTTAATTATTAAATTTTTAATATCTAACGGCACATTTTTCTGTTCTGATTCATCGTTCCAATCAGTGTCCCAACTTTTTAAAAATCTGGTTAATGGTAACTGGTTATACCAGTTAGTCATAACCAAGATATGCCCTAAGTCTAGGAACTCATTCATGAGCTCAAAAACTCCCTTTGCAGTAGGATTTTTGAAAGGTCCCTGGACAAAACTAGAATCTTTGCCAGCAAAAAGTATAAATTTTAATTGGTAACCTGTCCCTGTTTTGCACCATTCAAATGACTTGATGCCAAAACGGGCCGCCTTCCATCGTATGCACTGTACCCAGCTAAGACGACCCTTCCAGAGAAGCAGGGACTCATCCAAACTCAAAAACCCGATGGGTTTATGAAATTCGTGAAATTTATTATTACAATATTTAACTATTGGTGCGATTTTTGCAATTTTTTTGTCGTACTATAATACGTAATTTGGCTACGTGTCATTGTCAACAAAATGCAAAAATCTAATTAGCAGCATGAACCTGTCCCTCGACATAAGCTTTGTAAATTTGATCATTTCCAACAGACGTGGTCTAGTAGTCTATTTTGACGCACCGGTACGACAGCCGGAACAAAGCAGCAACGCTTTGAATACTCCTTCAAAATTTACTGTGTTAGGAGAAATGTTCCTCGTCCCAAACCGCCTGATGTTTCCAAAGAAATTTTCGACTAGATCCTGGTTGGAATTTCTTAAGCATGAAATGAAAAGAATATTTTTGGGACTAAATTTTTCATAACTTTGCATACCACAATTGTTTTAATGAAATTTTTTAACGATGGTACAACCGCTTCAACCACACGTTTTTTATTTCCATCTTTTTTTAGCTGTAAATTTGAAGTTGAAGTGCTTTTTGCCACAGCTGATGATGACATGAATTTCTTTTTACAGACTCTTTAAAGAATTTACCATTTGGTACATTAGAGCTACAATTCAGAGAATCAAATAAATTGTCGATTATAAGAAAGAACGGGAGTACTCCTCGGGCCGCCAAATGCTCCGTCGCAACAGCTACCCTATGTGTGCGTCCACACTGAATGCGCGGTGACTTTAGCCTGAGGCGGGCGCGGCGAGCGGGGGCGTGCGGTGGCCACAATAACGCGCGAGCTCTTGTAGCGGTTTGACGTATATCAGGTGTCGCAAACTATGGACGAGGATTTGCTTGTTTTACTAGACAGTCCAATCCTGAGATGGGAGGTGTTGAACACTAGAGATGGTGTGCACGAAATAAATAAAAACAGAGGAATTACTGGTGAATTTTTTAACTTGTATCAAGAACTGAGATTATACCCTACAAAATTCTTTGAGTACACTCGAATGCCCTTGTCAACATTTGACTACATACTAAGTAAAATATCACCTAAAATCACCAAAGAAGATACTAACTTTCGCAAAAGTATTAGACCTGAGGAGAAATTGTTCATAACTCTGAGGTAAGAATAAATCATGATTTTACTTAGTTTTGTATTTATATGTAGATATTGTAAGTAGTAATTACACAAACAGGTAAGTAAAAAGTTTTAATAATCAAATTAATAATTAGGGTAGTTGCCAGTAATATATCCTCCATAATTTTCTTCGTATCTCGGTTGAGAAAACTGCATTCTTTCTGCCTCATCTATTATTATTTGGGTAATTTTTTTTTCGAATGCGTAACTTTTGTAATTCACCAAACTTTTTCATTTGTGGTAGGAGACTCATAAAAAAATGATAATCATCACATTTCTCCGACTGGTCACTATTTGTCGCCATTTTCTGTTCAATTAGCAAAATTTTTTTTCTTTCGCATTCTATAAGTTCATCTCCATAATCTGATGCCGTTTTGTTGCGCTTTAACGCGTTTGTGTGACTGCTGCAGGTTGATGTACCTGGACTCATCACGTCAGCAATGTTCGATTGCTCAGTTTGACAAGACTCGTTGAGGGATTCCGAATCACTGTCATGCAGATTTCCCGTCATGACTTCGGGTGTAATGTCATCGTTTATGAATTGCATAAGTTGAAAGTATGGCCATGTGCTCTCTATTTCATCGCCACCGTCACCAGAGCGCGGCGTAGGGAATTTCTTTTTTTCTTTTCGATACTGATCGCGCAGATTCTTCCACTTCTTACGCAGTTGTTTTTCTGTAACAGTCATAATATTTTATTCTACTTTTTATTTCAGGTTTTTGTCAACAGGAACTGGATTTAGAGCATTAGCTTATAGTTTTCGTATGGGGAAAAGTACCATTGCGTCTATAGTGCACGAAACATGCCGTGTTTTATGGACTGAGTTAGTTCCTATTCATATGCCGATACCAACAGAACAACGCCTGAAAGATATTGCAGAAGACTTTGAAGCTACCTGGAATTTCCCACACTGCATCGGAGCAATTGATGGGAAACATTGTGAAATAAAAAATCCACCTAAATCTGGATCAGCACATTGGTGCTATAAAAAAAGAAATAGCATTGTCATGCAAGCTGTGGCTGACGCAAAAAGGAAATTTGTGGCAGTCGAAGTAGGCGGTCGAGGAAAGCAAAGTGATGGTGGTACTTTTATTGCATCAACGCTGTATAAGCTTATAGAAAAAAATAAATATAAAATTCCTATGCCAAAGAGACTTCCAAATTCTGACGTCATTGCACCCTACGTCCTAGTGGGTGATGAAGCTTATCCGTTAAAACATTATTTAATGCGTCCTTATCCCGAGCGAGTACTTAATAATGAAAGAAAATGTTTTAATATCAGATTGTCTACCGCTAGACAAACAATCGAATGCGTATTTGGCATTTTAACTCGTAAATGGTGAATACTACTTTAACCTAGCGAAACAAACAGAAAAAATGCCTTGTCTATAATAAAAGCTGCGTGTATACTGCACAATGTAATAATGGATTTAAACGGAGATCTCGATCTGGATGTCCAACGTGTGTTAGCTAATTCGCCAATCGCCATTATATGAAAATCATCAAAGAAACCGCGGAGTCAATAATAATCCATCACGGAGAGCAAAAAATGTTCGTATAAAATTCTCAAACTATTTCTGGGAACAATACCAAAGAATGTAATAACTATAGGTATATTATATTAAACTTACCTTCACTTTCAGGAAATTGTTCTTTTTTTTTCACTTCATAACTTTCTTGTTATTATGCGATTATTGTGGTGTGGATGTTTGCTTTGCCATATAGATGGTTTAGATTGAATCGCACTTATAAACAGTTCAGTATTTACCGCCATTTTACGACAAACAAATATAGACGCGCATAGGCCGAGCGACAAGACCGAACTGGTTTGTTACCCCCGCCACCCGCGCATTGGGTCGCTCGCTGACTAGGCCCGTAGTGAGGCCAGAACGCGCGGACAGGAGCGTTTGAAAACTACGCGCGCTGTCTCGCTCAGTCCCGTCGCGCTAGGCTTCCGCCTCAGTCACTACAATGTGGACGTAAAGGCGCGTTTCATATGTTTGATACTTCGCGCCCGTCGTCGCGACCGCGCTAGACTCGCAGTGTGGACGTACACTATAGCTGAAAATTTGCCCCGAGATAATCAGTTCAATACCTTCTTTTTTTTTTAAATAGTTCAAATATTTTAATAGATTTTTATAAAGGCTATATAGAGTCATTCAAATAGGGAGAGTCAAGTCGGATAGGGCTTTTCAATGGCAGATCCAGTCTCGGTATAACACGACTGGGCATCAGTATAGGCGAAAATTCCTCAGCAGGTGGTGAGTAAATGCGGTTGCGCCGGCGCATTGTTGGCGTAACCGCATTTACTCACTCCAATGTAGGAACTGTGTGTGTGTCTGGTTATATTCAGGTGGCACCTCTAGTTTTTGGATTCTCTTCATTTGATTCTCTGGATTTGATAAATGCTTTTGGATTTTTCTCTTTAAACCAGCAATTTTCCTCAGGATGGTAACGTTTCCCTCTTTTCTCGAAGATACAGATTTGGCATGGCTTTTTTTTTGATTTAGTGTCAAAATGTATCGTATCTTTTTTATCATATATTTTTTTTCTAACAAGATGTTCCAGTTTTACTAGTTCATGGTAGATATCTCCCGTTCCTTTTAAACTTTCTCTGTCAATTTTATCATCCACATTATTAGGTTAGCCAAATGCTATAATATCTATGAGTGTCCCAGTATCAATTGATTTTCTTACTGCCAGTACAGTTTTTCTTTTTTTAAGCATACTCAAGTATGCACCTGCTTGATATTTAAAAGCTAGAGCATACCTAATCGGTGACCATCCTTTGTTTGCAAACGTCTCACAAAAGTTTTTCTCCCAATTAATCCATTCTGAATCCACTGTTAGTTTTATTAGCATGCAACTGTACCAATCTATACTACAATATTCCAAAAAAAAATTTAGTATTTCAATTTCTTTTTGTCTTCGTTGATGTGGAAACGTTCACACTCCTTATTGCAATTTTTTATCCACTGGTTAGCATTTAAGTTCTTACCAGTAAATTTATTTCTCAATCATAAATTCCTTTTCAATTTTCCCTAAATTTTGAGTTTCCGATTTTGTTTGTTTTTTTTCAATCAATTTCTCTAAAAGTTTTTTCCAACAATTCATTTGAGCCACTAGGTATAGGTTCAGCATTATCTACTTTTTCCAAAATTTCTTCTAGGTAAAAATGATTAAACTGTATGTTCTGCTCCTCATCTAAATATATATTTGATAACTCTTCTGTAATGGTTATCCATACTTTTCTTGTTTGATATCTTTTATTTAAAGATTTTTTTACTTTAATGTAGTTGGGAGGTTTTATTACAGCTTGGTGTAAATTTGCAGGCTGAAACTCGGCCGGAATTGCAAAAACCTGTCCACCAGTTGTAGCGATCGTGTCTATGCAAATGATGTTTGATTTTCCATCTTCTTACTGTTTCACAATAAAATCAAACCTCTATCTTTCCATATTTCGTGAAATATGTGCAGAAAATGTTGTTTTATCAATCGCTTATACTGGGAATAAATAAGGCGCAACTGCGTTTCTCTGTGAATACAAAAGATTTATTTACAAAAGAAATATCTATTAATTTACATTTAATAAAAAATATATATACTGCTCAAAACAATTAGCGGAACAAGATTTTTCTCCTTTCTATTGCTTAAACTAAAATTAGATTTAAATTAACTTGTACGCTATTTTTTACCTTGTTAATTTGTTAATTACTACAATTAATAAAAAAAAACAATTTGTATTTTTTTTATTAAAAAAAAAATTAAAATGTGCATTGTAGACGAAAAACTAATTGGTGATAAAAAAGGTCCATCAAAGAAATATTCTTATATCGTTTGAATATTCGTCTTTAGTGACTTTCAGTAACGTGTGTGGCCTCCATGAGCCCTAATCACGGCTTGACAACGACGCGGCATGCTTCGTATGATCCTCCGAATATCTTCTTGTGGAATTCGCTCCCATTCTTCAATCAACGCTTCAGTGAGCTGCTGCAGTGTTTGAGGTGCAATCGGACGCTTCCGGATGCGCCTGTCAAGCAAGTCCCAAATGTGTTCAATTGGATTTAGGTCAGGGCTCATGGAAGGCCACTCCATTACACGGATTTCCTGCTGTCGTAAGTAATCTGACGTGATGGCTGCAGTATGCGGCCTGGCATTATCTTGCATTAAAAGAAAATATGGGCCCATACCATATGCTGCGGGCCAAACATGATCTTCGAGCACATTTTCAATGTAAGTTTGAGCACACAAGCGCCCGGGAACAACGACGAGATCTGTGCGCTCGTCCAAACTAACTCCGCCCCAAACCATCACAGAGCCACATCCAAATTTGTCATATTCCTGGACTGCTGCTGCACTGTATCGCTCGCCTGGGCGTCTGTAAACATGGAGACGACCATCGCAACGTGTTAGACGGAATCGTGATTCGTCAGTAAAAAGCACTGGCCTCCAATGTCGAAGTAGCCAATTAGCGTGATTTTGCGCAAACTGTCGGCGAGCTTGTCTATGTTGAATTGTTAGACGCACAGCCCGAACTGGTCGGCGTGATCTCAAATTGGCTTCCAACAACCTATTTCTTACCGTCTGGTTGGAAATTTCTACACCAGTAGCCGTCCTTAGTGTATTTTGTAGATCTCTTGCAGTTGTGGTGCGGTTACGTAAAGCACAGTTGACGATGTAGCGATCTTGCAAACGTGTAGTTTTTCTCTTTCTACCTTGACCACGCCTTCGTGAGTATTCCCGTCTCACGGTATCGCTTCCAAAGTCTGTAGATAACAGAAGGGGCTACTCCTAGATCATTTCCTACATAACGCATAGTTCGACCCACTTCAAACAAAGCGATAGCTCGGGAGACATGCAATTCAGTCAGATCTGGCAATATGACCTAAACTCACTCGCTTCAATGAATAACAATACTCAAAAGGCTCACTTCAATTTCTATTAATACTCAAAAGATTGAAAAAAACTACTTAAAATGTGTTTTCTGTGATTAGAAAGTAATGAAAATTCAAAGACGTCACTTTGTTTTTAGGTGTTTCTAGACACACTGCCACTTTATTATAGGACTACTAACCAAAACGCCGATGCTCTTTTGTTTTTTATTTTCTTCGACAATGCCTTAACATTATCTAGTGGCCAGTAATAATTAAAACCTTAAGTAAAAAGTTTAGTTCTACTTTAAAGTTTTGTTCCCGTAATTGTTTTGAGCAGTATATTTACAAATTATTCACTCACCTGTGAAAACAAAAGAAACAACATTTAAAGCATATTCTAGGTTTTATAAAGTAAAATAATATAATGAAAAAATTAAAATATCTAACATTTAGGGTACGTTCAGATGACAAGCTTTCAACGCGAGTTGAACGCGCGCAACATTTTTGTATAGTGTTCATATGACACGCGCTTTCCAGGCGTTGATCGCGCGTTGCCGCGACCGCCATGGTTCAGTCAGATGGACGTAGAAACAGTTTTAACGGTGATATTATACCGACGGTTGAAACGACGCGGCAGAAGACGAAGATATTGGGTCCACCCAATTTTGTCAACCAGGCTGACTGAAAGCTAGTACATAATTTTGTATCCTAAATTAAGGCAATTTGGAACCAAATTTTTCAGCTACTTCAGAATGTCCATCAAGTCATTTGATGACTTACTGGCTCTCACACACGACGAACTCGTAGCAGATGAAAACGCTGTGCGATATAGCATTTCACCAGAAGAAAAACTCATAATTACATTGAGGTAAGTTTTTTTATTAATCAACATATCTATATAGGAACTTTTTATTAATGAACATATCTATAAATCAATCAAATCAAATCAACTTGTTTAGGAAAGATTTTTTTAAAGAAAAAACAATAAATTGTAACTCGCAGAATAAATCTAACTCCGATTCGTTGCTGGTATTAGTTGGTGCTGGCGATGGAGTGTGTGTTACTGGCGATTGAGATCTCATTGCTGTAGTATAACGGTAATGCGCTAAATTATTTGGAACACCAGATTGCTGTGATCTAAAATCATGATATTGAAAGTCTTGATTACGCTGCTCTTGTGACAAATAAGACGTGTAAGTTGTATAAATGTTATTGTACATTTAGTATCAACCACATAAAATGTATCTTAATAGATAAAATGAATGCGAATCATCCTTCTTAACCGACAATATTTTACTAAAAGTAATAAATAATTAATGTCTCAGTATAATATAAATACTCTGAATATCATACAAACTAAAATAATATACATTGAAAAAAAAACTAACCTTAACATAAACTAAAATTTATTATTAAAAGGAGTCCCTGTAGGCAAGGTTCCGAAGATACTGGCAGCGTTCCCCCTTTGAATCGCTAGTCTAATTCTTTGTCCATGGTAGCTGCCAGATCTCCGATCTTCTTCTTCTTTATATCTAACGCATATAATATACATGAAATTAAACAAAGTTTTGTTGAATAAAATTCTTTATTTAAAATAAATCTATAAAATCAAAACAAGGTTATTATTATAGAACACTTATTAATTTATGTAGTTCGGAATTTTAAGGCATAAAATTAGATCAATATTAGTATCAACCAGTCTTCAAAAACAATAACAAAAAAAGTAGCTCTTGTGCTCTGCATTAATATAACATAAAGTAAACCATTGGCAAACAAAACATCCTTACAAATAACAGAAACATTAATGCTTAAATCATTTTTAAGGTAGGAATTATTAATCAATCAGTCTTCAAAAACTACAAAATATCTTAAGATCTCATTTTTAAAATGTAACTTATTTAATCTTCAATATCTGATTCAGGTAGACAATCTTTGACGTTTGTTGCACGTGGAATGTTTACAAATTCATGTTTGAAGCAATTAGGAATGACTTTATCAGTACAAAGTTTGACTAGACCATCATATTTTGCTTTTGATATGGGCAGCTGAGATCTATAACAGGGTAAAAGTGATACCTTAGCTTTTGACTGAACTTCAGCATCAAAAGATGCCGCAGTTGTATTCATAGATGTTTTATATTTAACAACTTGCTTGTCCTTTCTGAAAGTCATAACACGGATCTTGCTTATTTTTCCTGTTAGATTACCCTTAAAATATTTGTCACTAATCCTATCCCATTTTTAAAAATCTTCGTAACTCAGCCTTTCCATGGCGAAAGGTGATGGTTTCTGCCTAGCTGTTGCAATAACTGTAAACCATTGTGATGGGGCATAAACAGTTGTATTTTTTAATCTGATTTCAATTATAGCATGAACACTATCCACGGGCATGTAAGTGTGTCCAGTCAAGAGAAAGTTTATTTGAATAGTGTTTATATTTTTACACGCTTGTAATGAGGAGTGCAACATTGCCAATACAGTACGGTTGCGGTTTTGGCCCGGACAACAGTCGCAGTAAAGAAGTAATCGAGTGACGTTCCCTCTAGCATCCACTGATTGAATATATTTATGCATTATAGTCGCAATCTCGTTAGCGCCACGCTTTCCGTTGCTCTCATCCCAGTAGAAACAGAAAACATTACGAGTTCCATTTTCGTAAACACATAAATTATACACTGCTAGTTTTCTACTGTAGTACAGAAGCATAGATTGGGCAAAAGGTGTGTTAAATACTTTTTCGAGATCAAAACTAGCACAAAGAGTTGAAGGATCTTTGTGAATATCTTTGTGTACTTTAAAACGGGCATAACTTTGCTCTATTTCTACTTCGTGCTCTTGCTTCTCTTTCTGATTTTCAAGATTATCATCTTTTTCAAACTGAAGACACTTAAGACACTTATCTTTTTTAGGCACATGAAAACTAATGTTGAAGTTCTCTTGAAATATTTTACGAAAAATTCTCACACTCACAACGTCTATACCTTGTTTTATGTAAATCTTTTTGTAAAGATTGTATAAATTTGACATATTTTTATATTCTTGGGAAAGATAAACTTTGCTCGAGTCTTGACGGCAATAGTGCGAAGGTACAGCTGGTAAATTTTTTATAAACTTCTTCGTATAAATTATTTTATCCGAAATATTTAGAGTAGCAGCTAAAAAATTTTGACATAATATCGTCTACTTTCTCCTTCATTAATAAAATATTTGATGGTATAGTTTCGTTATTAACAACCCGAGCGTTTGCGTTTAATATTTTCCCTTTGAGAAAGAGACGCCGAACAATCACGACGACGTCCTTTCTCAAGACTCCAAAAAAACTTAAATAAACTCTCCCTTCTTTCTTCAGTCACAAATCCGCAGTCGTTGCCACATTTTTTGCCATAACATGGATAAGTTAAAATAGTTTTTGTCGGTACAACAGTATCATGCTTTTTTGTATATTCTAGGCCAGATGATTTCATTTTAGATCGCTTTTTTATTGAATTAGATTTTTTTGTAATATTAGCTGATTCTCCTACTATTTCATCATGGGTTTCGTCTTCATCTTTTGTATTTCTTTAGTGTATTTTTTATTTTTTTTAGTTTTTCTTTTTCCGGGCAGACTGCAGACTATCTTCTGACTCTACTTCTTGCCCTTCTGACCAATTGTCTGAATCAGCTACATCACCATAGAACGTAGAGAAGTCTTCTAAATCTGAAATATAATCAATGTACTGTAAGTCTTTCGTGGATTTTCTTTTTCCAACTTTATTTTTAATTAAATTAGTTACATTAGCTGCTTTATTCGGGACAACCGATGTGGATGGTACTACGTGATCTTATGAAAGGATTGTATATGTGTCGCCTACGTCTTCTACTTGGACTTGGTGACTTAAACCGCAATTAGGGTAGGGTAGGGTTGGTACATAACCAATATTAGCAACTTGTCAATCTGTGAGGGTGCATAAGCTGTCAGTAGAAGTAGGAAAAGCAAAATCATTTGAATTGTTAAAGTTAGTGGAAGCTTACGTTAATGTTTGGTTAAATTGGTTTATAATATTACTATCAATATACGATGCCGCAGATTGGTTAGTGTTCAAATCGGGGATATTATGAGATGTATCAATATTCTGAGGTACAAAAGTTACTTCTCCTTGATGTCTGTCCCATCAATATTCGTCGTTAGATCAGAGTTTGTTACCCTGAAAGAATAAATTAAATATATTACACAAAATGTTGCGTTACTTGTACGGGGGAAGTTTACTAAAATCCAGTCTTAATTTATCTTTCTGACTTCTCTTATATTTTACCTACTTATGTACCAAATTTCATCTTCCGAGGTCAAGTGGTTTATGAGAACTCGTGATAAATAAGTGGGTTACTTATTGAGTGAATGATAACTATTGAGATGGTAAGTAATGTTAATGTTTGCGTGAGTGAATGTGAAAATGAGATACTAGCCCAACCACCAAAAATAGTATCACACCGTTCGTTCATTTACCAACGCCATTTCAACTATTGAAGAGCTTTGCCGTTTTTGTTCGTGACTCATTATTTTAACTGTAAAAAAATAATTATTGACTTTAAATAGGTATTATCTATCTATAAAACTAAATAGGTACTATTATGTAGTAAATATACTAAGTATAATCCTAATTTAAAAATAATTAAGCAGTGCAATTTAATTAAATACTCACCACCTCTTCTTATTATTGTAATGCGGTACGGTACCGGTATGTACGGAGCAAACGTCCTCACGAGACTGATCTTGTTGTAGAGGTGACAGCGAGTGTGAGAATGAATGTGTATATTGGACTACGTCTCGACCTGATTGTGAGTATCGCTGAATCATCGAATGTGAAGATGGGTACAGAGATGATGAACGTGGAAAACCTGTTTGAGACTGACCTGGACGTAAATCTAAATTAATTACAGTATTTATATTTAGCTCACTTAATTTGGCATAAAATAAAATTTCCCCTATTAATTTCTCTGCTAAACAGCGCTGCAATGTATTTGAGATCTCTTTTAGTTGAGAGCTAAGAGAACGTCCAAAAGTATCAGCTAAACTTTCTTCACCAGAATCATTTAGTAAAGTTTTTGCCGCATCAAGCACTTGTACTTGTTTTTGAAGGATTACATTTGCTTGTCGTTTGTTTGAGTTTCTTGTTTTTTTTTTTCAGGTTCCTGCAACAGAAGATGAATGGTTGGATACAGTGAGATTATATGAACAAAAATGGCAATTTGATCATTGTTTGGGTGCTATTGATGGTAAACACATTATTATTGAGAAACCGGCACATAGTGGATCTTTGTATTATAATTACAAGGGATCTTTCAATATAGTTTTGCTTGCAATTGTCAATGCAAATTATGAATTCTTGTACGTACATGCAGGCATAATTATGGTAGTATTTCCGACGGTGGAGCACTTAAACATACACAATTTTATGATAAACTACTATCCAATGAGCTGCATATACCACCATCATCAAATTTTTCAAGATCGAATACCATGGCTCCGTATTGTTTTGTTGGAGACAGTGCTTTTGCGATGAGTGAACATCTTTTAAAGCCATACCCACAGAGAAATTTGACACATGACAGAAGAATTTTCAATTACAATTCTTTCTCGGGCCAGACTAATTGTCGAAAATGCATTTGGTATTTTAGCTGAACGATTTAGAGTATTCAAAAAGCCAATTACGATTAGCGTAAACAATGTGCAAAAAATCGTAATGGCTTCGTGTGCCCTGCACAACTTTCTAAGAAAAAAGAGTCTCCCCTACATGACTAGAAATTGTGTTGATTTTGAAGATGTCGAACAACACACCTTCCGACCAGGAGATTGGTGACAAAACGATATCTCCATCGGTCTTCGTAGTGAATGGGAGCGCACAGAAGTTGGGAGACAAGTTCGGCAAATATTTACTCATCACTTTAATGGCGAAGGTCGTGTTGATTTTCAAGAAAGGATGATAAATGTGACCTTATTTTTCGAAAAATGATCTACTATATGCAACATTACAGAAATTGGTTAAATAAAGTTAAATTACATAAAGTTTAACAAAAGGCTTTTATTATCATAGACATGAATACAAATACAATTATTTCATTTTACCTTATTACTACTAAGATTATTACAGAATTTCATTAATTGTAATATAATTATTACTATCATTGATGTCGTTATTATATATTTGTGTTATTAATCGCTTATGGTAACTGAAATACGAAATATATTGTTTACATTCTACAAAATTTAGTAACCGAGCGAAAACTCCATCAATTGTAGTGCCGGATCTCGTTGTCGACGTTTGAGGATTGTTTTTCATGGATAAATTCAGTTTATCTTTCAAAAATTCAATTAGTTTCAAAGATTTTTCTGATGCAAAATTGATATTAAAATCTCCGCTTAATATCATCGGTATTTTATCATTATTGTTGCCGAGTAAAGAGGCACCGCCACTTGTGTATGATAACAATGAATGGTGAATAAAATCAATAATATCGTCCACCTTCTGATTAGGAGATATATATATTGCAACAATCAAAATTATTATCCCATTTACCATTGTGCATTGAGCCATACATAAATCACCAACTGCTGAAGTTAGTGACCCATGAAAGTCAAGAGAAAGAACAGAAAAATCTATTGATGAAGTTACGATGTTAGCAACATCTTTAGAATTATGATATATTCCTACACCTCCTGCTCTTGTGTTCAGCCGTTTAAATTGTGCAATGCATTTGAAATCAGTAATGTTTATTTCAGTGTCATTGTTTAGCCATGTTTCAGACAGAACTAAAACATTCGAATTTTTCACAATTGAATCATCCAGGTCAGCTACATGAGCTCTAAGACTTTGACAATTGAAAGTAAAAAGTGACAAACCTTTCCTGTTATTTATAAACTGAAACAATTGTTCATTTATAGTCTCTACTTTATTCAGAGACAATCGTTTAAATTCTGTTTGTAAATCGATGGTGGACGTTGACGTTTTTCGGCCATGATAAAATGTTTTATCATTATTTAGAGTAGTTATATACAATCCTTCAATACTCGTTACTCGGGATAAAGCAACATATAACAAGGATCGGCTGTGATGTTTCTCATATTCATAAACAATTTCCGGAAATGTGCTACCTTGTGATTTATGAATGGTAGTAGCACAAGCACAAACTAATGGAATATGAGTACGTTTAACAACTATAGTTTTGTTATTATTAAGCGGAATTGTAGAGGATCTTTGTACAATTGGTACAGCCATTCGACTGATATTATTTTTTGATGCGTGACCTGCTGCTTTACGTCTCAATTTTTCACCAATTCGAGGTAATTCTGGAAACTCAAGCCATGCTATTTTAACTACTCCTTCGATATCGGTTTCTGCATGAACTAACTTCCCAACAGCTATAGCAGCTCCATTTGCTAATCCGTCAGATACATCAATGTTTGTAGTAATCATGTAATAAATATTTATTACAAATGTTGTTTGGTAAGGCAACCCATTTGTATCAATCAAGGACATTTTATGTAGTTTTTGGTGCACAAAAGTCTCTTGATCCTTGGTAGTACATCCAATATAAACATCATTAGCAGTTGAAATTATTTTTTCTGAATAAGAGTTTAATATTCGATTATAATACTCAGTGATTGCGTAATTTGTATTAAATAATCGAATACCTTGACGTTCCCGATTTTTGTAAGTATTGACGAGAACTGTTGATTTGCTTGACGCATAACTTGGTCTAGTTCATAAAATTTCAGATTCGCCATAATATTGGTCCAACAATAGTCTGCTTAGGTTGCTTGTAGATAGGAGTAGCGCGAACGGGAGGTAATTGACGTAAGTCTCCGATGAAAATAATATCTAATCCACCAAAGTTCGATTGAAAGTTACCAGTAATTTGTTTTAACCTGGAATCAATTTTTATCAATAATTGAGCGCTGATCATGCTTATCTCATCAATAATAATAACTTTAATATATTTAAACAATGTTTTATATTGCTGCGCAGTTTCGTTACTTAAAGGAAGTAACCTTGATAATGATATTTTTAAAGCTTTATGTACAGTTGTTCCTGCAATCGCCACTGCAGCTTTACCCGTTGAAGCACAAGTTATATATGCATTACAGTATCCGTCATTATCAGTGTAACGATTATAAATTTCCATTAAAAGTTTAATTACGAATGTTTTACCGCATCCAGCGGGGCCTGTAAAAAATATTTGAAAAGGAACATTATCTGATGATAAAAGATGATAGATAACATGAAGCAATATTTTTTTTGTTTTTCATTAGTCATTCTAATCAAATTATAAAAATGTAACGTTGCTAAACGAATATCATCATTAACAATGGCATCTGGATTATCATACAAATGCTGAAATGGATTTTGCTCAGCAATAATATTTTCTTCCGGTTCATCATTATCATCAATTTCGTCTTCGCGACACAAATTACGACAAATCTCTATAGTTTTTAGAATGTCCAAGTTAGATTCAAACTCTTGTCTGCGTTGTAAAATCAAATTTTCATTTGTGTTATAAATTGCAATAAACTTAATTTCAGCTAAGATTTCTTCATCGTCACTCTTAAACGGAATATGTAAAGTTACCATTTCCCGTTTGTAATCTGACAAATTTTGTGACATGTCATAACTGCGATAACGAATTATTCTAGATTTTTGCCGTTTTGTAACTTTTCCATCGCTGTGAACATTATAATAAGCAACAAACTGGGCAAGCGTGACACCACTTAATTCTTCAGGCCTTTTTTGATATTTTGTAAACCAGTTCTCTTTCAGTAGAATCATCAGTAGAATCATCATCAATTCCCATTTCAACTAGCTCTTTAGTAGTTTTCTTGAGTTTTTGCCGCTCCTCTGGCCACATCGTTCGAATATAAACTATAACAGAAGAGCTTTTTGACATCGGTTCTCTTTGAAGGTACCAGGCAGCTTCTTGATTTGGTATTTCAACACTATTCAGCATTTGAACTCCCAATTTTCTTGTAATTTCCACAACATCAAACTCCGGGTGTTCATCCATACATTTAATGATTTCACGTTGTAAATTACTTATTCCGCGATTTGTTTTATTAACATACTCAGCTACGTACTGGGCACACGAATATTCTTCCGTTATGAACTGAATATCCAAATTAGATTTAACCAGGTTCAAAATAAACGGATTAAATGGATTATGCCATTTCTCACTGGGCTCGCGTTTTATGAAAACTCTTGGTCTCTTGATTCCTGCTCGAAGTATATTGCGATATTCATCATCTGAAGAAATATTATTTTGCTGGTAAAATAAAATATAATAATATAATGGAATATTTAAAAACTTACAATTCTCTCGCTGCCGCTGTCACAGTCGTCATAATTGTCTACTCCTTATACCGCTGGATTCTGCTTTTCGTGTAAAAACGTAAAATATTGATAATACTACAAGAATTTATTAATATATATTTACACACCAAATGTTTTCTGTTCCGGCACCACTAGATTTACTCTTCTCTACCTGCAATTAAAAAAAACACAAATCTTAATTTTTGTACCTACTGTCATAATATAAATAATAAATTAAAAATACTAAACTGAAAGACTGATTTTAACTAATCTTTTTCCTCTCTCGTCTGTACGCGGCTCTCATATTCTCTATTTTCTTTTTCACATCATTTACAGTAATACTTCTATCAAACCTTGAATGGCAATCCCGTGTTGCAATACAATTCATGTGATGTATCCCACAAGCACGGAAAGTCTTTATACAGTGCCAAAACATCGACAAGGACTTCGCGTTCTGTTAAAATCTCCGCCATAGTGCGAACATGCGCTGACGCACGTGCTACCTCTAGAATGTTTCAAACGTGACTGCCGTGCGTTTGTCCGGTCCGAGCGTACAGACTCGCGGATTTGGTACGGAGCGGACCAAATTCGATGTGCAAACCATCGGACCGAGCGAACACGAAATAATAATAATAATGTTCGGCAGACAACTCTCCAGACGAACGGATATAGTATTGAGCGTACGGAATCCGCTGTCGGGCCCGTACCAAGTTCGATCGTCTGTTAATACTGTAAACGACGCGGAGCGCACGAATGTCAATCATCCTAATACGATCTATGCGACTGTTGGGCATACTCATGCGACATATTTTGAACTCGCGATGTACTTAGGAACGCTCTTTGGCAAACAGGAACACAATCATTGCGAGCTCTGAAAACGCTATACTTTATATTAAAATCTCTACCTAATCCGATGTTTTTGGTAGGTCGCCTTCTTTTTACCTTCTGCGTTTTACAGCACTTCAGTATCAAAGCATCTTGGTCACTCCGTTTATTTGAGGAATAAAACGAACTGTGAAAATTCATAATATCAGTAATTGTCAAACTCGAACATTTTAGATGTTTATTTTTATGTGAACATATTATTCGTTCAGGTGCTTTCTTTGGCATATACCTGTAAAATAGAAAAAATGCTGTGTTATAAGAGAGCATCATGTCTTTGCAACGTTTCAATTTTCCGTTGGCCAAACTTGGCGACGAGGACAGTGATTTCAAATGTTGGGCATACGTCACCAAGGACAATAATATTTATTGTAAACTAAAGGAGTTTGCATTGCTCTTGGGCTATGAGAATGTTAAAAAAGCTTATAGAATTGTTCCAGATGAATGGAAATGTTCATGGAAGAAGTTGGACACGATCACGGCCCATCTTGAAACGCCACCAAACTGGCACCCAGAGACGCTTTTTGTATCAAAACCCGGTATCTACGCTCTCTTCTTCGTTTTCGAAGAAGTGCTGCCCACTATCAGAAAAACGGGCGCGTATGTTTCTTTGCAAATCGGCCAAAACCAAATTTCCGAGTTGCTTTCTCTGATAATAGATAAAGACAAACAAATGGCTAAATTAATTGAAAAAATCATCGACGTCCGGCCTAAGTTGGCGGTGATGACTGAACGCGACGAAACTAAGCACCATCTCCACGTATACAAGAGGGACGACTGCTATAAGTCTCAAGTGGATACCCCCCCGGCTACGAGCTTGTCCTCCAACGGACAAATATTCCAAATGGAGTCAATGTTCTTAATCGCACCAAGGAATTGCTCCTCCGTGACTCGTACAAATCTCGTTATAACAATATTCGAACCAACATAGATGTGCCTAGTCTTGCGAAAGACCTGTTATCGACTAACTATCTCTAGTGAATAACGCTCTCCGCGCCGTGACTATTTATCAGACTTATTTAATGAAACAGGGGAAGTCCCCACGGATAAAAAAACCCTACTGGAATCAGTCGCGCAATATTGTTGGCATAATAGATTATTCAAAAAGTTATATTGTGTTAAAGTAGTAAAAACATCTAAGCACCAATAATATTCCATTTCAGAACAGGTAAAATCTTATAAGTCACAATTTCACAAAATAATGGCATCAAGTAAATATAACTGTAGGTACAATTCATAATATTTTTTGACGGGTACAATCTACTAAGTATTTTCGAAGAGAAATTTTCAAATATGCAAAAATAATTAAGTCAAACAATTAAAAAATTGAAGACATGAAAAATATACTAAGTTGATATTGCCAAATCTAAATTTTTCCTAAGTGTAGAATTTACTAAAAACCCCTTTTTTTCGTCGGTTATTGAGCACATAATTGGTGATTTTGTGTAAATTCCTCAATATTTAAGCGACTTGAAATGTGTCGTAAACGCACGACGAGGACTGAACGACGCAGAAAAAATTGACGATTCGAATGGTATATAGAACTCTTTTTAGGTATTTTTGTCGCTTAGATATTTTGCCTTTCAAGCGCATTATCGTTACAATTCAGGAATAATTCTACTTCTAAATCTTTGTTCAAATACCTTGAATATTTTGATGCACCAGGTTGATACTATTTAAATTTTTTACACTTTAATTCGATTTTACCTTCCTTACATTTTTGCAAGAGGTTGCCTCTTTTGTCCTAATTTCTAATTTAAATGAAAATCAATGTCATTAATAATTGTGGCCAAATTATTGGCAGAATTGTTTAAAAGTCATTGCATTGCTCAAAAGAAGCAAGTTGTTTGCCAGCCAAACCTTGTAGATTTTGATAAACAATATTTAATAATACTGGCTTGGCTTTTGTCTTAGGTGCTAGTTTAAATTTGTTAAAGGTAAATGTTGTTTATTCAGTGGGTTTGGGTTCTTGTAAATAAATTGAGTCCGAGTCGACAGAAATGTTTGTTTAATTTGAACAGGCTTTCAAAAGGTACCTTTTGAATCATATAACATGTTTTGATTAACAAAACTCTCGCAAGACAATCGTTGAAATATTTCACAATACTTAACAAGAATTGAGATAACTTTGGAGCCTCTTTCTTTACAATTTACTTGCTCCCTGACAATGAAGTAAATGCTAATGTCGCTTGCCAACTTAAAAAAAAACTTCATGTCTACCAACTACATAATACAACATAATAGGGATGGGATTGGGTTAGGTTGGGTAAAGTCAGCTGTCAGTTGATCAAACTTCAACAGTAAATTTTTCGTGACAGTTTTACTACATGTCACCGATAGGTTTTTATTATTATTACAATAATATTTCTTTGTCAATGTGACAGTTTCTTTAAAATTATATGCTAATAATTTAGCAATTTCCTTTTTTTATTTTATATGAAATAAACAATGTATCTTTGGTCAGAGTAAATTTAGTAACAAACTTGTTACAATCAAAATATAAAAATACGTCACTATGACGACATGTCAAATGGTGAATGAATTGATTTAAAATATAAATCTGTTGATTAAATTTATAATCCATATTGCTTGCATATGGAAAAGAACAGTGTTATTTTACATTTTTTTCTATACCAAACTCCAAAAGTTTAGTGATTGTTTGAGTAATGTGGGTTTTTTTATCCCCATACTGTCACCACACAATAATATTAATTTAGAGCTACTACCTACAGAATGATAATTTAATATTTTATCTACAATCCCTTGGTAAGATATTCCAGGTAAACAAATATTAAGTACGTTTTGAGATAACTCATCTCTTAGTAACTGTCCCAGCCCTTGCCCCAACTTATCTGAAAAGATGTAGGTTCTTTGAGTGTTTGCACTGCTTGAGGCCAGAGAAAACTCTGGCATGGGGGACTTTGGTGATGAATTATCTTCATTCAGCTGTGAAGGAACTTGGTCATGATAAATTAACTTATTACTTTGCTCAGTAGCACATGCACAATGCTTTCTAGTGAGAAATGCATACCTCTCAGTACTATAATTACATAGATCAATCATGTCATGCCTCACAGATACTAATTGGTATTCTATAATTTTTTTAAACATGTCATGATGATTATTATACATATTCATATATATATATATATATATGCACTGCTCCAGTTGACTAATTTTAATATTTAATTGTTTGTTTATGCTATCATATGAACATTGACTTTTAAATACATTTTCTTTACAAGATTTCCATTTCTTTTTTAATAGTGCATGTTGTTGTCTTAGTAATAAGTGACATTCTCTAGCGCGTCAGATATTCATACTACGTATGCCCCAAGTGCCTCTGATAACAACGGTATACTAATCTGCCAGTTTGCGTGGTGGGGGTAGGCATATAAAGTAGTTAAAAATGCAAAAAAAAAATACTCGAGCGCGTCAGATTTTCGGAAGGGGTGTTAAGTAGGCCCCAAGGAAGCTCCCTTTAAAAAATCTGACGATTTCGGCGTGACGATAAGTTACGATGAATTTTTGAAAATGCAAAAAAATTAAGTTTTTTTGAAATACTCGAGCGCGTCAGATTTTCATAGGGGAGGTTTATCTCGGTATCCTGAAAGCATATTTTCTTAATCTGACAAAAATGTTGGTGGGTTCTCTTAGGACCTTAAGACCTGACCGAAAATTGTTTTTTGGTTTCTTTTTTTTCCTTTCTTTCTCCTAGATAAAACGGGGAATTTAAAAATGCAATAAAGCGATAGATACAACCAACGTTAATGTAGATGAAATGTAGTACGAATTGTATTATTTATTGTATAAAAAAATGAAATGATATAAAAATTGTATTATAATTGTATTGTTATGACCTTTACATTTTTGCTCAATACAATTCATCTTCTTCTTCTTCACTGGAACTTTCATATTGTGGCTCCTTATCCACAATTCTTCACCACATCCACTCCTACTGAGAGCCCAACATCCGTAAAAATTATTTCTATTCAGTAATTTTGTTGAGAGAATATTATTGAAGTACAAAATTTTTGAATCAAGCGTCTCGTCATTGCTATCCTCGGTGTCATTCTCGTTGGCCAGAATATCCGGCGATACAACAACATTTTCATACGCATCGGGCAATGGATTCCCGATAAACCACGTGAACTCGAATTTATTATTATTTTCATTCCACCCATGATCGGTTGGTTCAAGGTCAGTGACGTCGGATTTGTAAGCATTCCTCCACAAATTGGCAATGTACCGAGTACTGAGGCAATGTTGGTATAGCTCTGACTGGCATGGGGGTAACTTGCAAGGGTCGTAGTTGCGTACGTCCAACGAGAACGGCTTCGATGTGTCGCGCACATTGTATGTTTTATTAAAAATGCCGAATCAGCGAGTTTCTTCAGTCCGTATATGTGACATATTAAAGATTGAATCGTAGGGAAAATTGTTTTGATATCGACGATTGGACCCTACATCAGCGAGCGCTTTTTAAAAGATCTCAGATTTTATTCAAAATATCAAAAGGTCTCTTTTGGCCTCGTTTATACAATGCTGGATTAAAATCGCATCCTGTTAAAGCGTGGAAAACAGGCAGTGCGCGTGAAAGCATCCACACCGGCCGAATTATTGGCTCGCGCTCAGTCGGTCTGGACGCGGCTAATGGCTCATATTTGTCGACGGGGCCTATTTGAAGCTTTTCGGAATCCAGAAATCAAGTTTTCTTTAGTTTGATGCATACTGTTCAAAGCCCCCTTAATAAGCGAGGAAACTGTTATTTGGGAGTTGTGTCCTATTGTATCTTTTTCGATTTCTTCTGATACTTCGGCAATAACTCTTTTTATGTTGTTTGCAAGTTGCTTAGACAAATTATTGTGTCTCTTTATAAAACATCTAACCCAGTCTTTACCTGCAATATAACTTTTTTACAATTCAACCTTGCGACGATAGGTAATCTCTAATGATCATTTTTAAATCAAAGTCTGTAAGAGGGAATTCGTATTCTGAAAACGCACTTATGTGCGCAGCAAAACATCCTTCTTCTTTCTCGGTGAACACTGTCGGTCTACCAGCGTTGTTTTTATCGTACTCAGAGGTATTTATTCATGTTCAGAAGCAGCCCGTTGAGTCAGTACTTTGGACCTCACTCAACATACCGGCTCTAAAGCTGGGTATCGATTACGCGCTCCTGGCGCGCGCGCCATGAATGACCGTACCGAGAGTGCGTTCCGTGAAACGCGTTCCAAATATTTGAAGTATATCAACTAAGCGCGCCTGGCGCGCGTGGCAACTGTTCCAGTGTTCGACCCTTCATCGTGGAAGCCAGTCGTGTACGAACAGACATTAATTATTCACAGACATTAATTATTCACATTATAAACAAGAAAAAGCAGAAACGAAAAGTGCGTTGGTGGATAAAAGAGCTGTATCGAAAAAGAATGCAGTATGGAGTGACACTTATAAGAGATATGCAGTTCGAAGTGGTAGACACAATAAAAAACTTCACAAGAATGTCGACAGATGATTTTTATTACCTACTTGAAAAACTTGATAGAGCCAAGGGTGAAAAAAATGGATACCCGGTTTCGCGAAGCTATAATATTTACAGTGACTGAAAGGCTGACTATAACTTTGAGATTTCTTGCCACTGGAGATTCGTATACAAGTTTGCAGTACCTGTTTAGAGTTTCAAAGCAATCTATGTCTAGGATAGTCCCAGAGTTTTGTGATGCTATCAGTGAGGTTTTAAAAGATTGGGTAAAGGTAAGTAAGGTAGAAAAACGCGATATTAATTATTATTATATTTATTTGACTTTTTTTTAAAACATAATTTCTCTTGATCTTGAGTTGACGTACTGGCCAAAGAATCGGTATTTGAATTTGAGAGGTTTTGAGCCTCCCGTGAAGTATACCCATAAAGTGGACTGTATTTACCTAAATCGGCCTCAAAAATTATTTATTGCCTGTTTGACATATATGAGAGTATGGCTGTCATATTTTCTTAATTCGTTTGCTATATGCTGGCCAAAACTGAAATATGAATCAGTAGCTTGTGACGTTTCAGTAAAATTTTAAACGCTTCTGTCAACATTTTATCGTCCTCTTCTTCGTGTTTCCTTTTCTTTGAGGTCTTCTTTGTAATTTTTTCCGGTGCTTTTTCAATAGTATTATTCAATTGTTCTTGTGTATTACACTCTTGTGAAGTTTTTTCGGAAGACTCGCCTTCATTTTGTGATGTAGAGTCCTGAAATATAAACATGCATTTAATTAACTTTGGTAGTGCGTCGGCACGTCCGGGCCGGACACTGAAAAATCCAGCGTCTCGGCGTCGTGCAGCAGGCGTCTACCCCGCTTGTTGGCGATCCGCGAATTCCACGACGGGTGCTTCTCGTTCCAGTCGCCAGCGGCGTAGACCGCGAAGAAGCCTGTGGGGCGATCTGCGAGCTGCAGCTCCACTCCCAGGGCCGAGCATTCGGTGACGGCCACGTCGGGCAGCAACCGATGCGGTATGCGGCGCCTCACCATGACTGCTAGGTCACGGTAGGCGCGACCAGTGGTGTCGACGTGGTGCTGGCGGTAGACTTGGTACTTGCGCAACCTGGATGCCGCAGTGAGGTGCGTCTCGCTGACCAGGGCGACGTCGATGTCCTGAGAACTGAGTAAATGTTTAAAGTAGGTGGCCTTACAAGCGAGGCCGCGCGCGTTCCAATGTAGGAGCCGAAGGCCCCCCATAATCGGCGACTGCGACCTCGGGTTGAGCCTTTGAGGGCCGATGCCGCTCTCCTGAAGAGCGGGGCTGGGTTGTCCCCGGCTTGCACAGCCTGGAGGATATTGGCTATGGCCGCCAGCGCCTCCTCCATTTGTGGTCGGCGCGCGCGGGACCTGGTGCGCGAGCGTGGAGGTGGTGCCATTCTGGGTAGTGACGGTGCTGAGGCTGGGGCGGCGGCGCGGTTGGCGACGTCCACGGAGACCGTATGGAGCGCGGCAGCGCGGCCTGCCTCCTGTGCGGCAAGCGAAGGTGCGGCGGGACCTCGCTTGCGGCCACCGCGTCTCGTGCGGCGTCGCACAGTGACGAAGCCCTCCTCGTCAACTGTAGGTGCGACGCCGGACGTCAAAGGGGCGACCGCAGGCGGATGTTGAATGTTGCTTGGATTGTTGCGGCGTTGGCGCAAGGGGCCAGACGGCGCCGTTCGGGCACACGTGCCCGAGCGCCGGTTCCGCTCCTCCTCCTTGCGCACAGGGCAAGTCGAGTGACAGGCGGGGTGAGGCCCCCCATAGTTGGCACAGGTCGCCGGCACATCTTTCGGCCTGGTGCAATCCGCCGCGCGATGCTCCCCCGCGCAACGAACGCACGCCATTCGCTTATGGCAGTTGACTGATGAGTGCCTGAACGACTGGCAACGGTGACACTGCGCGGGACCCTGTTTCCCGCGCCAGGCTTCGATCGTGACCCCTGTCATGTACACAGACTGAGCCCGTGTCACACTGAGGCCTTTCTTTTATAGAAGGCGGGTGGGGATCGAAACTACCTACTGCGATTTCTGCTTATAATACCATTTTCACAACACAATTCACTAAGTAGCATAGTCAAATGCGATTTGTGACCGATTAACAAAGAATAAGGCTGGGGATACATGTACAATGTACGATGCCAGTAAATCGGGAAAGTAGCTGGCATTAAAGTTACTGGCATGTACGAGTAACTGGCACACTGCGGATACATATGCAAGTAAGGGCTTGTACACAAAACTGCGATGCGACGCGATGCGAATTCGCAACGCAGTCAGTAACAGTCGTCTCCCAGGGTGACCATTCCTTCGACGACCGTTAACCGTACTAAACGTATTTTGAATTGAACACTAGGTCGTGAGATGGATCGTAAAAAGAAATGTGCACTTTTATTATTGCTTAGGAGATACAGGAAAAAGAAACAAAGAAGATTTTGGGTTCATCCATTTAATACTACTATGAATCCCGATGGAAACTATTTTCTTCTAAAATATAAAGCTTTGAAAACCGACGAAAAAATTTTTTTGGAGTATTTTAGAATGAGCATATCTTCATTCGAAGAGCTTGAAATTCAAATCGATGGTGGTGCCTCGTAGTGTTGTTGAGTTATTAACGTCTGATGCACAATCGACATTAAACATGTCTTTCATGAATTTGATGAATGTTTCGTCATTTTTCACATGTGTGTTGAAGTCGCCACAAAGAAGAATTGGTATATCGGTATCAAATTCCATGATGGGATGCACAATGTAAATACTGGCTGTTATAAACATACGGAAATAGTGCTTGATGTAGCATAACACTGATGTAAGAAATACTTGCTCCAGGATGAATATAAACTGCGCCAAGAACCATTTTGAACGTGGTATCAACGGTGAAGCATGTAACTTCTGCTAAGCAAACGTCACCAGTGTTTCTAATAAGGCGGGTTGTATCCGAAAGTTCAACGTTGAGAATTTTGGCTGTGGATGTCGATGATAAGTTTCTATAAATTGCCACTGATCGATTATTCTGCCGGGTTACATATTCAAAATTTTCAATTGAAATTGGATCACAATTGTCACGCATCCACGTTTTAGTCAGAATCAAATAATCAGACCTTGGAATCACTGTGTCTTTTTCAATATCTGCAAAGTGAGCAGGCTAACTCTGTGAATTAAGGTTCGTTATTAAAGTTTGTCCTGCATTGTTTGAGTCATTACAGAATTTTACTGCATTATCAGTAATTGTTCGAAGCGTGTGTCCAGTCGAATGTATTCGTTACGGATATCTCTTGTTGTCTGTGAATCGTTTCCCTCCCGTCCGTGTTTAAACCGAAATGGAGCATCTTTTTCGGTGATAATATGCAAGCCTTCTAAACTTGTTACCCGACTCAGCGCCACGTACACCAACTGTTGCGGTTGATTGGATGAGTATTTAAAAACAATGACAGCAAACGTCCCACCTTGTGACTTGTGAATAGTGATGGCACAAGCAGGAACGCAAGGAAACTGTTTTCGTTTGCATTTTATAGTTTTTGTTAGTGTAATGTTTACTATTTTCTTATAAACTGGTATAGTACGGACGCGGAGCACGAAGAATTTCGTACAATGACCTTCAGGCCTACTGCCAGTGGTTAAAAACATTTTTTTATAAGTACGAATATTAAAAACGGTTGTTTAGAATTTGAGTTAGCTTTGTAAATAAGATCATCGAATTAATATAGGTAAGTACCCAAGGATAGCTTTTTACCCGACTGCGCCAGAAGGAGGGTTATGTTTTTCGAGTGTATGATATCTATATATATATATCTATTATAACCTTAGAAGATGAAAATTAATCTCTTGACAGCTGTTCATAAGAAAGTTCATGACATTAATGTTTAATAAATTATATTATTTAAGATTTGAAACGAAGTATTTCATTAAATACAATATTGTACCCTGATAGAAAAAAGTAAAAATCATTATGTACATTTTAATTTTTTACATACCAAGCATAAAGATTTAAAACAAAAACAATCTAATAGTAATTAAAAAGATATATCATTACATGTTCACAAAAAGTTTTAGTACATTTTATCCATCTTTTGATTTTTCAGACTAAAAAAACGCAAAAACCTAAATATCTCATTTTGACTATTATGCCACAAAATGAGTTTTACCTTTGAACCGACGATTTATAAAATCCATTTCCTTAAACCAAATCAAACTGGGTTTGTAAATGTCATCGTTTTGATTTTTCCACTTTATTTCTTTCTTGTTGATAAGTACTTCGCAGACTTTTGATTTTATTTTTAATTTCTTTTTTAGTCAGATTTAATTCTTCTTGTATTTTGCTGTAGGCATTGGCACGTGCTATTATGTTTTTGTAAAGGGAGCTAGTCGGCTTCCAAAGACATTCGTATTCTCTGTACAAATGAATGAAATGTATAGTTCTCTCATCTCCCCATCGTTGCCATGTTGAATACAAAAACGAACAAAAGAAAAACTTGACCTTCGAAATCAAAACAAAAAACGTGCGCCTACAGCCACAACGAGTCGGCTACTGGCATGCCCGTCGCGTCTGTTCACACGTGCCAGGTTAGCAGTCCCCCCCGCGGCCCCTCCCTCAACGGGCATGCAATAAAATCAAATGTTGTGCTAGCTACTTGCAACTAGCTAGCTTCCAGTTACAGGCATGCCAGTGCTAGTGTGCAAGCTACGGGCATGTGTATCCCCAGCTTAAAATTATTGGTAATTCTATACCTTTTTCTTTCAGATAAAGAATCAAGATATTTGCCATATATACATACATATTCATTCAAAAAAGGATTCTCCAGTCATCCCATGCTTTGTCAGTTTTTCCAATTCCATCCATGTGGAGCATTGTTAGAAATCTCAGAACTCATCCTTTTATATTTGTAGATAGTTAGTGGTGGTGCATACTCACCAGCGACAAGTAGTGAAGAGGGTTGTTATGTTATCATTGTCACAATTTTTAGACGTGTCCTATACATGATATCCCTTTTCGTCTAAAACAAGACTTCCTTTTGGTGCGAGAAAGAAAGCTGTCTCGTCACATTCCAGGTTATTTAGCAACATTTATTCATTTAAAGTGAGAAAAGAAGATTGTTCTACTAGTTACAACGTGACAGAATTTGTATGTTGCGAATCGATGAAGTAAAAGAATGCGATGTTCTTGGGTGGTCTAAGCAGAGCCGATTTCGAAGGCTTTTTTTCGGCAACAGCGAACAAAAAAATGTCGTTGCCATGTCGTTTTGCAGTACTTTTGCATTCTTTTTAAAGAAAGTCAGAATTTCTCTGTCAAAATCATCATTGTAATTTTTTTGATGTTGGGTTTGCGTTAATTTTCGTCCACGGTTAGAGACTTTGGCTGTTTTGGTAAATGTTGGAATCATCGAAAGTTGAAGGTTGAGGTTCAAGAATTCCTTGGATTCCGTTAGGTTCAGTTACAACAGCTTCTTCGTATCCAGTAGGGTGAGATACGACAGCTCCTTCGTTTCCGGTAGTTTCGTTTTGGTTTGGCTCCTCATTAGGCAAAATTGAATCCTCGGTATTCAATTCTCGTTTATTATCCATAAATTTCATACACTTAAAATAAACATATGTCTTCCTTTTTGTACCTCCTGATCCAGACGGCACAATCTTTAATGTAGCCTTACACCTCACATAACCTTGTCGCGCAGTTTTCCGCCTCTGCTGCACTTATTTGTCTTTAAAAGGAGATAGACATTTAAAGATCTTCACAAAAGGTATGAAATAATTTATATATGTGATTGCTAAAAATATGATTGAAAAATTATTTAAATTTTAAAAAATTACACAATGGACAATTTCACCAAGAAAGGCGATAGTAACAACTTACCCCCATTATAGGGCTAGTGGTTACATCTTCGGGGCACGGTGTTACGTTAGATTTATATTAGTTTTAAGCCAGCTGGGAAGAATATTTTTTAAATCGAGTCTTACAGCACATTGGTAGGCTAGTTTTCGGACTTCTGTTGGTAATAAACCAAAATATATTACAGAACTTTTGAGTAGATAAGAAGCTAATTTATGTTCGGTTTCTCGTGAGAATACCAATCTAGGTTTAACGTAACCCAATGAACAACTTTCGTTGTTTTTGTTTTCTGGCATACATACCTGGATAAGGATATCGTTAACAATTTGTTTAACATTTCACTTGCTTTACTTGCACTACTTCTGCTGCAGCAGATTTATAAACTTTTTGACTAGTTGTACCTCTTTCTGTTTTTCTTTTATAGTTTCTCATTCTGAGAAAAAAAGGACAAAGAATCTTTAGACTTTTTAAGATATGCTTTAGAGATCAAAGCCTTAATGTGTACTAGTAACTAGATATTTTAATTATTAACTGCCCACAGAATAGACTACAAAATCAACAGAAAAGATAAAATGTGTATTTTGGTCAAATAAAACTAAACTTAAAAATGAATGTATGTCGTTTTTTAGCTTGCTGTGGTTGTATAATCAAGTTGTCTTCATCGTTGCCGTCTGTGCGTAATGGATGAACACGCTGTGGAGGAAAAATTACATCTGAATCATCAGAGTCTGATAGGAACCTCGATCTCTTATAGGGACGTGAAGGGGGTCCTGAGAAACGGTTTATTCTTCAAGTGTAACCAGATTTGATCTATAAGTAACTAGTAGAAGCATTGACTGTGTCTACACTTCTCGGAGATATATTTCTTGCGTCTGCTGAACTTACGGGACTATGTGATCGTTTATCATCGAATGGAACCTTTATCTGACCAAAATATGGACAAACTGAGCAACTAAGAGACAACTAAGCCTCCTTACCAAGAAAGTTGGTGAATCTTAAATGTCCCTATATAAGCATTCATTTTATTTTTGGCGACCATTTCTTGAATATCTCGCACATTTGGATCTCCTACTCCGTATATCTCTATACCTTTACAATTTTCTTTTAAACATATAAGAGAATTATAATCAGGGACATCTTTACCCATTGCAACCGAATTGTCTCATAGCCTTTTGATGCAACCACCTATTCCGCCAGGAGCACCTTTTTCACTGTAGTGCCATACAATATTGTCATTGCGGGTACGTTTTTAACCCTAGAAAGATAACGTTATTTTTTTGTACTGAAAAGATAAACATGCGCCTGAGAGGCGCACTAGTTTAATAGCAGATTTTTTATGAATGTCAATTTGTTTTATTTCATTAACTACTGTAAATTGTTGAATTATTAATAAGTAAATAAAATACATAAGTATTATCATAAATTTTTATTAAAAATATGAAAATTTGTAGGTATTTATAAACCCTTAACAAAAATTAGAAGTCTTCTGTACTTAGGTAGAAATTTTTTAAAATATGTAACTTTTATAGTGTTTTTTCTTATTCATTAATTAATTATAATATGATAAGTCTCAATTTAAAAAAATACTGGAAAAATCAACGGCTAGAGACAATTTTTGCAAACATCTTTTTTATGTTCTCCACACAGTGTCTTTTTACATTTTGTGCAACTCATCTTGGACATTCTCTTCTTTTTTTTTTGTATATAAGCTACAGTATCGTCGAATTTTAGCTGGAGGTTCCTCATCAGCTTCTTCAGACATCTCTCGGTTAGTTTGTGGGAGGATATTCTCAATACTTTCTCTCGCATAATCTCGTCAGTTATAAATAACTCAAAGCATGGAAGTGGTTCAAAAATATTTCGAGACATGCAACTAGGCCCTTTATTGGAATGAACTATATTGATCGCAGACGTTCTTCTGTTATTTTGTCCTTTAGCAGTAGCCCAAACATGCCTATTCTTGCCCCTGATCACATCATTAGGCGGCGTTGGTCATGTCCAGTATTTTCAGTGACATTCTGCGATGAAGGATCATTCGAATTTTCATAAATCATAGCTTCATCTACGTACTCATCATCAGTATCGCTTTGCACATTGTCTTCACTTACATGGTCCTCGATCTCACTGTCACTGCCTACATCTGCGCCTTCATCTTCTTCATTCAATAAAGAAACAATTTCTCTTTCATCCAACACTCTCTGCTCGCCATGATGCGAAAACGCTCCTAAAAACAATTAATTACAATAAGTATTCACCAATAAAAAAAACCTACCTTTAAACTTACCGTACATTGGTAAAAAATTATAAAAACAAAATCACTATGAAAGTGGCGAAAGTTACACAAAAGATAATCATACGCCTCCCGAGCGCAACGCATCGCTCTAACAGCAAACCTGTGGTACTTACAGAACTGAAGCAACCGTCTCTCGGAAGTGATGACCAAGGACTGAATTGGCGCGGAAACACAAACTTGTATGCGCGTCGGTAACAAAATGGCAGCGAAATATATATTTCGCGGGCGCCTCAGAGGCGCACGTTATCTTTCTAGGGTTAAATTGTAAAAATGGGAAAATCGTTTCCGGAGCATCAATGAAGTATCACGACCTCCTAAGTAGCACAATCCCTGTAGATTCCAGGAAATCTTTTCCCAACAATGTTCTAGTGTTTTTTTCTTTCGGAATTGCAGACAATGTATTCGGTAAACAGCGATTACCTTTGTTAATCACAATCGTTATTACTTTGAGCTTCATCTCTTTTGTGGACCCATCAGCCAAATTAATTATAGCTTCTTTGTCCGTAAAAGTATAGTCAACTTTTAATAATAGTTCAAATAATGTTGAACAAGCGGTACTTGTATGAGCCGCAGAGTCTAAATAAGTGTACAGTTACGCGGAAATTACTCGGGATCTTTTAAAAAGATATAATAATTTCAATATATTAACTTAGATTATGATTCACAAAGAAAATAGAACAAAATAAGAGCACGTCTGCTCGGATATGAGTCAGGAGATCGATTGACTTGATCGGAATGTAAGGTTGTTGATGCATGAGAAGAAATGATGACGAGGATATGTCAGTAATATAGGATGCATTGATTTGTAACAGTAATTGTTCCTCCGGGAATCAAACTCATTTAAGTTTTTGCTGTAAATCCTCAGTAGATAATTTGGTACTATTCAAATTCAATGCCTACCTTCGGTTGTGTGACTGGGTAGTAAGTACCCTTTTGAATTTTTTATCGTTACTTCGATTATAGGTAATTTACTCCATCTTCTATTGTTTTATTAATAGTTGAATAAAATTGTACTGGCTTGTGGTGTTTCTTTGCTTTTACAGTTCAAACAATTACTCCAGTACAGTTGTACTGTACTGGAGTGCCAAAACACCTGGCTTTTCCATACTCTGCTGCTACTGCTTTTTCATTATATTGTTTTTTCCTGCACTCATCTTCAATATGACCTCTGTTCTTACAATAATTGCACCTTTTGATTATTGATTTTCCTCCGTCTTCCTGTTTCTGTAACCATTGAAAATTACGAGCTTTTATCATTAGATCACTAAATGTTTTAATTTCTGACATTGGAATATGTTTTTTTCAAATATTATTATAGCCTCTTTATTTCCATAATGAATCATATATTAAACAAGTATATCATATAATTAATTATTACATGCATGCATAAAAAAATACAATATTACTATTTATAATCCTTAAATTTAAATTCCAACCATAATTAATAATTTCAATATACATATCTATATCTATATCTATATCTATATCTATATCTATATCTATATCTATATCTATATCTATATCTATATCTATATCTATATCTATATCTATATCTATATCTATATCTATATCTATATCTATATCTATATCTATATATATAATAAAACTAAGTCGATAAAATGTGCGTGCCGATAAAACTTAAAAAGGAGTCCCGACACGATAAAGGGACTTATGTGGTGTGATAGCCCTTTATCCCCCCTCGAACAAGAAAGTTCCCGTTTTAATCTAAAGGGCATGTTTTTAAAGATATAAGGGACTTTCCGACCCTTCAACTTGGAAATTAAGTGCAGTGACGCCATCTGTTATCGAATATTTGAACTTCGTTCAAGACAACTATGGAGACTATACACTCCAATAGTCATAGTGTATAGTCTCCATAGTTGTGAGCCATTGCAGCATGTGTAGTAGTGGCGCGAAATTTAAAATTCCAATTTCAATAAAATCTTAAATTTCATTTGTTACTATAATAAAGTTGTTAAATTTTGTGTATTTATACGTCATTATTTAACGTATATTTTGGAGTTAAAGCGACATAATTTTAGTTATCCAAATTAGTTCTCAAAATATTTAAAAATTTAGGTTTTTAAATTTCGCGCCTTTACTACATACGCTACCGCTACAGAAGCTAGAAAGTTCCCGTTTTAATCTAAAGGGCGTGTTTCTAAAGATATAAGGAACTTTCCAACCCTACAACTTGGAAATTAAGTATAGTGGCGCCATCTGTTATCGAATATTTGAACTTCATTCAGGACAACGATTGTTTGGGTTGCATTTCCAAAAGCGTTGCGAGCAATTGTAGCATGTGTAGTAGTGACACGAAATTTAAAATTCCAATTTCAATAGTCTTACATTTAATTTGTTGCTATAATAAAGTTATTAAATTTTGTGTATTTATACGTCATTAGCTAACTTATATTTTGGAGTTAAAGCGACATAATTTTAGTTATCCAAATT